AGATACAAATTAACATGCAACAGTCAATTTGTTTCTTAATACCATCCGTGTTCAAGTAGGACTTGAAAAGTAACATTTAAAATGAAAGATTAAAAGAATTGCTATATTTAAGGAAACCTGAGGAAAATCTTAAATCGGCAAGACCTAAGTAAATTAAGTGGTACTCTTTGTTCATGGATTAAAAATGTGATGAGAACAGCATGGATACATACCTAGAGCACAAATAGTACCCAGACCTTGGTTTCTAATGCCATTTTTACTAAAGGACTCCAAAATCCGCGGAGGAATGACTGAATTTAGGATTGGAGTACACAAGAAATATTGGTAGTATAGGAATACTAAGGGGAAAAAAAGAAATAAAAATCTAAACCCAAACTACTACAAACTCACTGATAATGGGATATGTCAAAGGAACACAAGAGCCACACTGAAAGAATTCTCAATGTGTGTTTTTTTTAAAGTATGTACCCTGCCAATTTGTGAGACAATTGACTTCTGAGTGCCCTGACTTCTTTCCTAAATAATTTAATTGTTATTATTAAGCTATTGTTTAGATGGGCTACCATTTCATAAATCACTTACTTCTTTTAAAGCAAGTAATGTTTTTAGTAAGTTGTTATGACAACTGCAGAGTACCCCTGGAGCCACACCTCTAATCTTTTGCTTTGATGATTTTTCAGGTAAGGCCTGCACTGTTTTTCCTCAGTGGGCCTGGACTACTACCCTCCTACTTAGACCTACTTCATACGGAATGACAGGCTCAAAGCATCATGTCTACCTTTTTTAAAGATAGGGTCTTGCTAGCTTTTTACTTGAGCTAGCCTCCAACATGATTCTCCTCACCTTGGTTACAAGCTCAGTCTCCCATTTCAAATGTGAGCCACTGGTCTCTGCTTTTGGAGAAATTCTTCAGAGTCTCCCCAAATATTACCTTTTCCTCACTTATACCCTAACCATCAAATCTTTTGATATCTCTTAAATATTTTATGTTTTCTTATTTGGCTTATGATTCTATTTCAAAGGAGTTCATATTTGAACTCTATGTTCATAACTGAACCTATATCTCAATGATTAGTCTGCAAGTGTAATTAGGTTACATTTAAAATAAAATTTTAATACTGAGTATTTTACATTAAGCTCTGATTTTAATAACCTCAAAATTATTTTTATAAACATTTTACTTTATTTCCTTTGGAGTAATCAACTGACTGGTCTAGCAATTCTCTTGTTTAAATACTACTCAGTTTTGAGTGGCCAAAGATAATATTAGGTTAGAATCCTCTTAGGTTGACTAGATGTTTAAGGATGTTTTGGTTGTTTCTGTGAGGGGGTAAAGTTTTCCTAATTCTATTTTGAAAAAGTGGCTGTCTTTGATTCTAAATGTCTCAGACCTAAGTCTCAAATTTACTTTTGTTAAGAGAAGGATTTTAGAGTATCGTTACTTTCTCAGAGAAATTCTTAATGCCTGTTTAAAGGTCATCAAGTTATAAGGTTTATTTTTTTTTGGTCCGGTCGTGGGGCCTGAACTCTTGGCCTGGGCGCTGTCCCTCAGCTCTTCAGCTCAAGGCTAGCACTCTACCACTTGAGCCACAGCGCCACTTCCGGCTTTTTTTTTCCTGCTTATGTGGTGCTAAGGAATCGAACCCAGGGCCTCATGCATGCAAGGCAAGCACTCTACCACTGAGCCACCTTCCCAGCCCAAAGTTATAAGGTTTATTAACCAAACAAAAAATGTTTTTCAGAGTTCCTTCAAAATGTGAAGCCCATTATTAAATTGAAAATATCATTAGACTGATCTTTCAGGGATAACTTGAAATGTGCTAGAATTTTTTAAAAAAACAATTTCACACTTCTTTGTAAAAACAGACAAAAGTCTTTGATGTTACAAATTGACTTTTTTCTTCTCATATAGCTATCATACATCTCACTTATTGTATCTATATCTAAGAGGGTAATACATTTCCTTTCGACCTTTAGTGGGGTAAAGTTCATTTATCTTCTAATCTCAGAAAATAAGTTAACTCCTAACAACCTATGATACTCAACAGAAACACAAAGTACTTTGGAATTAGTCATCTACCCTTGTTTCAGAGTGTCTTAAGACAAAGTGATAGTAAAAAATAATATTTCATTATCGTGCCCACTAAAAGGGCACCCTGGCCATATAGTATTGTTTGGAAATGTACCATTCAATTTTGTCCTGATTATAGCACAAATCAATTTCCCCTCTGTATTTTCATCCTCGAATATCTACTATAAAAACCAAACGCTCTACTAGCTTCCATATCCAATTGGAATGCCATTACTAAAAATAGACACTCCCAACTAATAACAGTTTTGTGTCATGCATAAGAATCTATTTTTTCCCATTTCTCACCTTTAATATTCTTAAACAGAGAGGCATAATGAATATAAGCTTTATACATACCTTAAAGCAGTTTGCAAAGTTAATCTGAACCTGGTTTTTCTAATATATAAAATGATCATTGTGATGATATACTTCAAAAAATGTTAGTCACTTGACGCAGAACGCTGCGCATAATATTTCATCTGTGGGAGCCCTTGACATATGTTGCTTATGCCATGTGAAGCATCTGGTGAGTTTAGGAGGAATCTCCCACACATGTAGTCTTTGCTGTGTTTGGTCAAAAGAGCAACAAAGGCAAATACTTCGGTACTACATGGAGTTCTCTGAATATGTAGAATGTCATTCTTACTTCATCTCAGTGAAACAATCCTAAGAAGTCTTTCCTCAAATGCTAAAAGAAAACGTCAAGTGCAAAATATAAAAGAATGTTATTCATAACTACTCCAAACAGCCTTCCTTGAACATTCTATGTTGAAATGACTACGTAGTACAGTGACTCATAAGAGCTTTCTAGGGGAAATCAAATGTTCAAATAAAACAGCACTTTATTAGGCAATAGTGATATGCCTTTTATTGGTTGGACTCTGGAAAACACCTGACAACGAACAGTACTTTACCCAAAGAGACACGTATCATGTACCACATAGCCTACACCACAAACTTGAAAATCTATGGAACTGTGAGTCTCAAATGAAAATGCAAAAGGCAGTTCTTATACATTCAAATAAGATGTAAACCAGTTCCCTTAAGTAAGAATCTATGTAAAGTTCAAGTGACTCCAATGGCCTCTTAACCCTAGGTATGTGGTATTGAATGGAATAGAAACTCATTCAAATGGAAAGGAAAGAGCACTTTCATGTGACCTTGTTTTACTCATAAATCTTCAAAAAATTTAAAGTTAATTTTCCTAAGAGTGGTCTTTTTTGTTTAACTCTAGAAAAACTAATGAAGTTCTACTTTGAATAAGAATGCATATCCTGTGAAACTGGGAAAATTGAGGGGATGGGTGTGATTAGGAGGGAAGATGGAGAATGATGAAAGGAACAATATTGATCAAGACAACTGTACAACTACTTAAAGATAATGAAAAGGACAAAAAAGAAAAAGGAAACCATTTTCATCTTTCAATTGTTGATATAAAAATATACTTCAAGGGGCTGGGAAGGTGGCTCAGTGGTAGAGCGCTTGCCTTGCATGCATGAGGCCCTGGGTTCGATTCCCCAGCACCACATAAGCAAAAAGAAAAAAGCCGGAAGTGGTGCTGTGGCTCAAGTGGTAGAGCGCTAGCCTTGAGCTTAAGAGCTGAGGGACAGCGCCCAGGCCCAGAGTTCAGGCCCCACGACCGGAACCCCCCCCCAAAAAAGATATATATATATATATATATACTTCAAGAGAAAACAAACTTGATACTGGAGATTTTTTTTCCATGTTGTATTTCATTTTGTGACCTTAGTCTGTTACCTTTTTACTTGAGTTGTCTACAAGATAAAAGCTCAATGTTAGGGATGTAAACACGTTTTGAGAGGAACCAGGGCAAATTTAAATACACATTTTGTACTGAAGTATGGTCTATTTCAAGTACATTCCAATAAATCCTCACCAGCACTTTTCCTCTTCTTGACAAAACTTTTCTGCCATTCACCTCCCCACCCGCCCACCCCAGGCCACCCCATTTGTGTAGGCTTTTTTCCAAGTTTCTTGGACAAGGGTTCATTCAGCATGGTATTAGCTATACTAAGTTGTTCCCTTATGTCTAGAGAAGTTTCCTAATTAATATTCTGTACCAAAAGTGGTGAGAACTGAGATAGACTCTCTGACTCTTCCTAGAAATGGAACTCAGAAAGCACAGGACTCCAGCTAGCCCATCTGAGAACTCAGACTGCTTCCTGTCACAGACACAAATGCAGCTCTACTTTGATCTGCTCAATTGGCCTTCTCTACACTACTAGCACATTAATGATGGACCAGGCTGGTTTACTTCAGCTCACTATAGTTTCACACACAGAAAGAATCATCCACATTTCAGGAATGGAAGTTCTAAGAAATATTATTGTGAAGTAGTAAGTTAGTGGTAGGGATTGAGATGTATATTCTGAAATGCAGAGTTATTGTTGCAATTCCATATGAAAATGCAAAAAAAAGATTATAGAAGACATAAAATCCAACCAGATTTAGCAGAATTTGACAGGCCTGCCCACCTGTCATGTAAAGTGGTGCAATGCAAAGAAACATTGGCATGGCGAAAACTATGGGCATGGTGAGTATTACATATTGAACAGAGAAGGATCACTTCCAACTTCCTTAGAATCTTCCTCCATTCACCTATATTGAAAGAAAGGAAGGCAAGACGGATTTGGTTTAGCTGTCCAAAGTGAAACTTTCTTGATTTTTCTTTCTTATAGAGTGAAGAAATATTAAAAAGAATAGGAAACTGAAAACTACAGCCCACCGATGTTTAATCATTAATAATGAGCCCTTTGGTGAACTTAGGTCCTGATTTTGGAGTTTGGAATCTGACCTCTTCCCCAGAGATAAACATTATTGTCGCAGGTTCTGAGGAGGGTCACTTCCTAGCTGGCTGCCATCAGAAGAGTCCACATCTCAGAGCCTCGGAGCTGGATGCAGCAGAGGGCAGCTAGTCAGGATGATTCTTCTTGCTGTGCTTTTTCTCTGTTTCATTTCCTCGTATTCTGCTTCTGTTAGAGGTAAGTGTTGTCCTTTCTGAGTGACAGAGAGAGAAATGGAGAAGCTCTTAACTAAACCATCTTCGAAACTGTGCAACTTTGGAATGTTTGTGAAAGTATCAGTAGGTGGAAATGAAAACCTAAATTTTAATCTCTATCTCATGAAAATAGAAAACCCTCTTTAGTTCAGCCCTTCAGATCAATGTGGGTTTTTTTTTGCTTCAATTTCTCATTCAGGGTGGATTTTCAAAGGGAAAGAAGGTGCAGCTAGTGTTACCTGCTGCTGTTGACCATGCTGAATGCAACTCCTTCCCTTGCATTGTAAAAAAATGAAACAAAATGAGAAATTCCAGTTCTTCAATTTCTTTCTAGTTGCTAGCAATGTGACATCAAGAAGAATTACACCCAATGAAAAAAGGCATATGATTTGCCATAGAATTAGGAGTGAAATGGTAAAGTACATACATTATTCTATTGCCACTCAAAAGTGGTAGAATCTATGCTAAATTAAAGAAAATATAAAAATGATGTAGATTAAAAATAAGAATTTATTATCATTGGAAAACTAGCATCGATACACTAGCATTGATACAACCACTTAAAAATAATTTTAAAAATTTAAAAATAGCCTTGGTAGTTTCTATTTTTAAGAGAAAATAGATTTTTTTTAACAAACATACAAATTGATATCTTCAGAAAAAGACAGAAGAAAAATGTGTTCCATAAAGAATAGTATGGGCTATATGTAATGTATCAATATAGAATCTAATTTTAAATTAGCTAGATATGAACTCCCTGTGTTTCATAAAATCCAGATTTGTAAGACTGTAGATCTAATAAACAACTTCACCTGATTGGGGTTGATCTTTAGAACTATATACTTTTCTTAATATATGATGACTCATTCATAAACTTTCAAGACCTATTTGGGATAAACATGATTTTTTATCATAAAGTAGAAAATTTTCAAGATTTTTTGCATTGAAAATTCCCACATAAAGAAAAAGGGCAAACTTTTAAAAAATCAGAGCAATAAGTAGAGGGCTAAACTTAAATTATTTCACCTAAGCCAATCACACTTTAGGTTCTTGAATTAAGGATCATTATTTCACTAGTTTTTTAAAATGGTTAGTATTTAAGGATATAGACATTAGTTAGTTGGAAAACAAAGAATGAGAAAGAAGTCCAGATTTATATAACTCATGTCTACCGGAGAATTGTTATACTATGATATACTATTTTGTAACTGTCAAATAGATTGTGGAATATTTGAAATCTTGGCGATGTACATACTATAATATCAAATCTAATACCATGATTATTTTTCCAAAAATAGCTGAGACACAGAAGTCACTGTGGGATTCTCCCCCCCCCCCCCGCATTTGATCAATCAGAAAATTACCAATGTACTTATGAAGTATTTCAGTGCACACACCCACTTGGGCACTAATACAAGCAATTGCACGTAGGAGAAATGTGGCTGAGAACATGACAGGGCTGTGTACAAGGTCAGTGGCAAATTCAGATTTTAGAACCTGAAGCTTATGCAATTTAGAGACTGTCTTTGAGAAAAGATTACAGAAATATCTTACACTTACAAAGTTACTGGGAAAAGATAAGGTATGTGTACACATTGCTATGAGCCCCTTCCAAGGTCTTAGAAGGAACCCAGTCAAGTAAGACAGCTTGAAGCTGAAACTTCTTTAGCTTCACAGGATTAATTTCTTCTGCCAAATATTATAAATAAAAGACTTAGCTTTCCCCCTCCAGAGGGGATAGCCTTCAGTATTAAGCACAAGGATTGGGTGATAGATTCTTTGCCCTCCTAATGATTAACATTAAAACATCAAAAGCTGCATGTAGGAACTATCCAGTGTCAGTCGTTTCTAAATCTTGGGACCCATACATCATCTCAAACTCAGCTCTAATTTAAATTACTGATGAAACGGTGCAGTGAATTCTAAGAACTGCTGGATAGCTAGAGAAGGGAAAATTGGATGGGAGTAAGATTAAGACAGAATAGGGTCTCTGATTTTCTGAGTGTAAGCTTTCTGAAGTCACAAATTTCCCAACTTTTTCTTAGCTTTGATATAATAGTGGGGCTACTTTTAGCGCTGAAGAGTTTTCTTTATATAGTGCTTTTGCTCTCTAATTTGTCAACTCTAATGGTCTCTTCACTTCTAATCTTCTTAATTATCATTCTCTTCTGTTCTCTTCTCTTCCTTTTGATTCCTTCCCTCCTCTTCCTTCCCTTCCCTCTCCTCTCCACCCCTCTCCTGTCCTTCCTTCCCCTCCCCTCCTATCTCTTTCCTTCCTTCCTTCCTTCCTTCTTTCCTTCCTTCCTTCCTTCCTTCCTTCCTTCCTTCCTTCCTTCCTTCCTTCCTTCCTTCCTTCCTTCCTTCCTTCCTTCCTTCCATCCTTCCTTCCTTCCTCCTCTCTCTCTTTCGCTGTACCTGCTAACTATGTAGCTCTCTCTTGGATTCTTACACTCCCTTATCATTACTGTACATTTTCAGGCTTTACTTTGACTTCCCTCTGGCTTGTCTCCCTGACATTTAGCAGGTTCACTATGCTCATCTGATATTTTGTAAATGAGTACAGTATTTAAAACTTAAATAATTTCAGTTACTTAAACATTCTAGATATACTTGAAGGAAGAAAATGAAGTAGTGTGTGTGTGTGTGTGTGTGTGTGTGTGTGTGTGTGTGTGTGTGTTTATGCTGGTCCTGGGGTTTGAAATCAGGGCCTAGGTGCTGTCCCTGAGCTTTTATGCTCACATCTAGTGCTCTCACTTGAGCCACAACTCAATTTCTGGCCTTCTGGTGGTTAATTGGAGATAAGAGTCTTATGGACTTCCCTTCCTGGGCTGGCTTTGACCTGTGATCCTCAGATCTCAGCCTTCTGAGTAGCTAGGATTACAGGTGTGAGCCACTGGTACCCAGATGACTCTTTTTTTCCCGCTAAAGTTAATTTTTCTTTCTTATTTCTTAATATGTGTAAATATCTATCCCAAAACATAAATACCATTATGTACACTTTGAAGAGCAATAGCCTAAAATAGAAATAAAGTGAGGAATATAAATGTGACTCCTGTTGCCCAGGCACTGTGTTTGCCAGATCTCTGGATAACAAATAGAAACATGCTTATTGAACAGGAAAAAGGGTAGTAAGTAGCATAGTAGTAAATGTAGGATAGTCTATTTATTTGAACCATTTTAGACTCTTATAACATTAGTTAAAAGAGCAGCTATTTTAGGTCTATTGAGCAAGATAGGAAAGCTTTAGGAGAACAAAACCCTTTCTTTCCTGATCTTCATTCCCTCTAAGTTATCGTCAAGAACTCATCTATGATATTTCTTTTTCACGTTCTCTTTGCCAATAAAGTAAAAGTAAGATCAAAGGAAAAGTAACAGCTTGGTAATATTGATAACTTTGGACATTAAAAAATAGGATACCTGCCTACAAAATCATCATAGCTATTTTAATCAGAATACATCTTTAGCTGGGTATCATAGTAAACAACTGTAATCCCAGCATTCAGGAAAATAGAGCTACAAAGTGAGACTGTGTTCTGAAAAGGCAAAAACAAACAACAATCAAATTGTGCATCCCAGCTGGGCACTGGTGGCTCACACCTGTAATCTTAGCTACTCAGGAGGCTGAGATCTGAGAATCCAGGTTCAAAGCCTGCCCCAGGCAGGGGGTTAATCTCCAATTAACCACCAGAAAAATGGCAGTGGGGCTCAAGGACTAGAGTGCTCGCCTTGAGCTGATGAGCTCAGGGACAGCGACCAGGCCCAGAGTTCAAGCCCAAGACTTCATGTAGTCCACAAACTTGGATTTTCAATCGACTTAAATATCAAATTCTGTATTGTACCAATTCTGTTGAGTTGAACCTGGAGTTGGCTTATGTCAGCTCTCCTATCATGCTTATCTTTCAGAATTGCTGTGAGGATTAAATAAGACAACATGGATCTCTTTGGGGACCTATGTGGAATTGAATAGAGGCCGTAAAAAAGGCCTTCCTGAACAAAATACTTTTCCTGGCAGAATGCCCCATCAGAACAAAGGATGCCTGGGTATGGAGGAGGCTGGAGAGAGCCAGGGCCTTCATCTCTACCTAGGGCTCTCTGGATTCCACCTCCTGCGCCTTACACCCCGCCCAGCTCTACCTAACTTCATGTCTGGACAGTCACTTGCACTAAGAACCTGATCCTGGCTCTTCCTTCAATTGCCTCTTCTCCATTCCTAAGTAAATTCCTTTCCTTTCCATTTGAAGCTTGTTAGAGCATGGAACAGCTACACACCTAAAACTAGGTCACACCCTGAGCTCTCTAGCAGCATCTATCTGTCTTTGAGTCAAACTCCAAAGTCTCTAAGTGTCACCCCAAACACCTAGACCCTCAGAGGCATACATTAGATTTACTCTTTCTGACATGTCTTTTACTTACTGTTTCAATCCCTTTGGCCTCCCTACTTATACGTGCATGAGCCCTTCACAGGGCCTTTCTACTTACTACATCATCTATGAGGAGTAAGGGGAGTAGGGACCGTGGGTGTAGGAGAGTACCAATTCTACCTGGCTTGCGTAAAGCCTTCACATTTTCTCAGGGGTCTTTCCCTCTGTGTCCCTGTTTCCTTTCTTGTTTTCATTTTCCTTTCTTTCCTTTTTTTTTTGGGGGGGGGGCGGGGTTGGCTGGGCCCTGAGATTGAACTGAGGGCCTAGCCACTGCCCCTGAGCTTTTTTTGCACAAGGTTAACACTCTACCACTTGAGCCACAGCTCCATTTCTGGCTTTTTGGTGGTTAATTGGAGGTAGGAATCTCATGGACTTTCCTGTCTGGGTTGGCTTTGAGCCATAATCCTTAGATCTCAGCCTCCTGGGTAGCCAGGCTTATAGGTGTGAGCCACCAGTGCCCAGTGTTTGTTTGTTTTCCCTTAGCAGTTCTACCATGTTACATGATTTGCGTGTATGTTTTTATTTCTATTACTCATCTACCCTCAGTTAAATATAAACTCCATTTGGACAGAGCATCAGTGTCTGAAGAGTGCCGACCACACAATAGTAGTTCAGTATATCCTTGTCGAACAAATAAATCAATTCCTAGATCACTCCCTGGGAATATTAAAGAATTTAACATTTTAAGGTATATAGCATAAGGAAGTATATGGTCCCTAGGACTACAGGATCTGGGTTCAAAGTATAGCTCCAACACTAATTACCTGAATGCCCTTGGGTAAATTGTACACTCTCTATGTCTCTCCCTTTCTTTATCAACTTTAAATAGGTGTGTCTACCTCAGGGCTGAATGTGGTGGTGCATGCTTGTAATCTCAGCACTCAGGAGGCTGAGGTAGGAGGATCATTTTTCAGGCTGGCCTTGAGTCACGTTAGGCTAGCCTTAGCTACATAGAAAGACCATGGAAAGACCGGTGAAGACCAGGGAAGACCAGGGAAACAAAATATCACACCCATAATAGATTTTTGTGAATAACAGCACACATGAACTAATGTAATATATTTTGACACTTGTTTCCTTTGGAAAGCAGATGTTAAGGTTGACACAGCCAGTGGAACAGTTTGTTACTGAGGAGATAGTAACAATTTTTCAAAGGTTTACTAAAGTTTTTTGGGGGGAGATTTTTTGTTTGTTTGTTTGTTTGTTTTGCCAGTCATGGGATTTGAACTCAGGGCCTGGGTGCTGTCTCTGAGCTTTCTTGCTCAAGGCTAGCGCTCTACTACTTTGAGCCACAGCTCTACTTTCAGTTTTCTGGTGGTTAATTGCAGATAAGAGTCTCATGTGACTTTCCTACCCAGGCTGGTTTTGAACCTCAATGCTCAGATCTTAGCCTCCTGAGTAACTAGGATTACAGGTGTGAGCTACTAGCGCTGAGGCAGGAGGTTGTTTTGTAAAGGTAGTTCTGTTTCCTGTTTCAGTTGCTCGACTTCTGGTATAGGCTCTCCCTTTCCTGTGTCTCTCCAAGAACACACTTCTTGATGGAATAATGTTATGATTGCCTATTGCAGTGAACGAGGCAGTTAGTGGCATTATATCTGAGGAAAAACATACACAATGAATTTTTCTTGAGTATCTCCTGAGAGCCATTCATAGAACATCTATAAAAAGACTTTATGTAATCAAAAATACCAAGTTCTCACTATGAAAGTCTTGATCCTACCTGTTTATGTTGAGGGAAAATATGCTAAGTTGAATTGGAAATTGTGTGAATTTTCTTAGTGCACAATATTGAGTTGAATAATATTTACTGTTAAACTAACCCTGGCCAAGTGTAACCTATGTTAATATTTTATGTATTTAACACATAATTTTATTCACTGAGCTTCTTTTGCTCAAAGTAAAACTCTACCACTTGACCACTACCCCACTTCTGGTTTTCTGGTAGTTAACTGGAGATAAGAGACTTATGGACTTTCTTGCCTGGGCTAGCTTTGAATCATGATCCTCAGATCTCAGCCTCCTGAGTAGCTAAGATTGCAGATGTGAACCACCAGTGCCCGGCTGAAATGTTCTTTCGTACTAAACATTTACTAATTAAATTAGTATAATAACATTGGAGGGATGTTTCTTAAATATAAAAAATCAAACAAAGGAACTGCTCTTCTACTATTTTTGCATTCAACTGCTGCAATTAAAATATGCTCATTATAAATGATTCTTGTTAATTGTATAAGTGGTTTATTGTTAATTACATGGTTGCTCATAAGGCAATTCTTATGAAGACCTGTACTTAACTCATATTCACACAATTAAAAGCAATACAATGGAATTACTTTAAAAATGCCATATTGCTGAATTTTATTAATTAGAGATTATTATTAATTAGAAATACAAAACTGAAGTTTTCTGAAATGAAATCTTATTTGTTTAATGGTTACCTGCTTGGTTAATGTACGTTTTTCAGCCACAGGTGAAGGGTACAAACCCTTCTCTTTCAGTGGACACTTGCTAAGTCCCCACCAGCTAAGGCTGGTCTAGTGGGCAGACAGCATATGTCCTGGCCTGGCAGGTGTCTTATGATTAAAACCGAACTTTTGCCACCCTTTCCTGCAGGTCACACAACTGGTCTCTCATTAAATAACGACCGGCTTTACAAGCTGACATACACCACCGAAGTGTTGGTTGATGGAGGCAAAGGAAAACTTCAAGACAGCGTGGGCTACCGGATTTCATCCAGTGTGGATGTTGTCTTACTGTGGAGGAATCCTGACGGTGATGACGATCAACTGATCCAAATTACGGTGGGCATTTTCTACCAGACACACACAAGCCCCGCCCCACAACACAAGGAGATTAGATGACTCTGAAGTCTTTGAGAAATAAGCCATTCGACAATACATGTTCTGTGCTCTTGGTTCTATAAGTTGTTGGTTATCTTTCACTAAAATAAGTACTCCACAGTTTTTCATTGGTCAAAAACGATTTAGTTTTGTCACATTGTTGAAGCAGGCAACTGCAAGATTTATGATGATAAGTAGCTGTAGTCTGATGCCCCTATTAATGTCCCTATTAATATGATAATTCTATAAATCATATCATATCGTATTAATATAATTCCACATGTCGTATTAATGGGAACTTAAACTGGAATTCGTTCAAAATGTCCTAAGAATGAAGGATCTGCAGTCCATGTCTTGTGAAAAGCAACTGAAAATAACTGGAAAGGGAGATAAGTTACAAGGTGCCTGAGTGCCTAATTTAATGGGTAGACTACCAATGAGAGGGTAAACCCAACTTTGAATAAATCAAGGACTCCCACGAATGGCAATGTTTGTACAGTTATGATGATATAGATCCATGCAATGAAAACAGAGGCCAAATTAAATGACCCAGATGTCTGTTTCCAGTTTTAACATGTGGTGATTCTGTATTTGTTTTTCAAGAACTTAGAGGCAATGTGTTCTATTTACAGTCCTTCTCTTCCATGTTAGCGTGAAATAGGGACACAGAATCAAATACTGGGAACAATAGTTTAAGGAGACTTATAATAAAGCTCATTGCAGTGCATTTACCAAGTGATCTGTTTCTTTGGTTATATTGTTTGTTGGATATATCTGTATATATCTAACAACCATTATATCCAATATATAATATAATATATATCTATGTATAATACTTTATAATATGTTATATATACATATATAATATATGTATATATTCATGTATATGTATATCATATATGTATATCATATATACTATATGTACTATATAGTATATATAATATATTGGATGAAATGGTTGTTAGATTTTCCAGATTGGAGCAAAGCATCCTAATCCACATCCTTGAGTTATTTTTCAGTAGAATGACACACCATTCGGCACAAAATATTATATAGATCTGTGTCCAGCAGTTAGGCTGTTTATCTTTAATTTTATCTATTCAGATGAGGCAAAGTGGAGGAGCCCTGTCGGATAAATACTACAGAAAGTGAAGTGATGAGGCAGACAGCAAGAGAAGTGATTGATGGTGGCATGGAAGAACCAGATGCATGTCAGTTTTTTGTGTATCTTTTTATTGTATTATAAAGGTGTACAGAGGGGTTACCATTTCACAGTAATGAGTGTGTGTGCGTCACCCCTTCCTTCTCTCTTCCCCAGTTTTTCCCTCCCATCCCCACCCACAAGTTGCATGTCAGTTACTATAACCTAAAGTATGGTGTTCTTGAGGTATTGATATTTTTTCCTAATTCAAACGATTTATTATTTCAGTACTTTATTCATTTCAAATGAGTGACAAAGATATATATATATATATATGCATACATACATACATACATGCATGCATATATATGTAAAATATATGTATATACATAGACTGGAAAATGGTTGATTCCTTTACCTTTTTACTTTCTAAGAAACTGGTGAAGACAGACAGAGAAAGTTGTTCTAGTAGTGTCTTTATTTGACTCTAGATAACGGATGTAAATGTGCAGAATGTGAATCCACAGAGAGGAGAGAAGAGCATCTTCAAAGGAAAAAGCCAACCCAAAATCATAGGAAAGGAAAACTTGGAAGCTCTGAAAAGACCGATGCTCCTTCATCTAATCCATGGAAAGGTAAGGGGGCTAGGTGGTTCCACATCTTTGGCCCCCCCCAACTTCCCTTTTTTTTTCTTACCTTAAATAGGGAGCATTTTGAGGTAATTGTGTTGTCAATATTTTTATGGTGAGTGCAATTGTTTCAAGAAATAAAGAACTAAACAGAAGTTGCAAATTAAATATTTCCAGAATAAGTCAATACCCCAAATTTGCATATTTTCTGATCAGTTTATTCAGTTTCTATGGAACTCTTTATAGTAGAATAAGTATTTGTTTTTTTTTATGAGAGGTGTACATTTTAAAAATGCATTCCTTATTACATTACTAGCATTGCAAGTCATCAGAGCATGCTTGTATAAAAGTCAGAAAATTAAACAAATTAGACTGAAAAGCTTAGATAAGTGGTATTAAGTTGTTACAAAGATATCAATATCTGGCCCAAATCATAAAGCTGAAGTATTGAAAAGACATGACATGTCTAAGGTACAGTTTGTTTATGAAAAATGTTTAGACAATATTGAAAAACTGTGACTTGGAAAAGCATTAAATATATTACAATGATGAATGCTAAGTATTTAGAAATTCCATGTGTGCATTCTGTATGGTTTGAATTTAACCTATTTAAAATGGTCTTACTATATTTGGAATAGAAAGCAATTGTGACTAATGAATTAGTAGGCATTGCCTGTGGGAGTTTATGAAAATTACAGATATTTTACTGATATAGGAAAAATATATTAGTGAAGATGAGAGATTAACCTCAGTCACTAAAGAAAGACATAAAGGAAATGCCATACTTTTAACTTTACACAACTTTAAAGTTAATAATTTTAGATTCAAAATAAAGATAAAAACAAATGCTTTATCATAGAAATTTCACACATCTGGGCTGGGAAGGTGGCTCAGTGGTAGAGCGCTTGCCTTGCATGCATGAGGCCCTGGGTTCAATTCCTCAGCACCACGTAAGCAAAAAGAAAAAAGCTGGAAGTGGCGCTGTAGCTCAAGAGCTGAGGGACAGCGCCCAGGCCCAGAGTTCAGGCCCCATGACTGGACCACCCCCCCCCCCCCAAAAAAAAAGAAATTTCACCCATCTATTTTTTAACCAATATGTGTATTAAAAAGGGAGTTATGAGAAGGAATCTCTCTCTCTCTTTCTCTCTCTCTCTCAGTCATGGAGCTTGAACTCAGCACCTGGGCATTGTCCCTGAGCTTCATTTTGCTCAAGGCTAGCACTCTACCATTTGACTGACAGTTCCACTTCCAGTCTTTTGGTGGTTGAATGGAGATAAGAGTCTCATGGACTTTCCTACCCTGGCTGGCTTGGAACCATGTTCCTTAAATCTCAGCCTCCTGAATAACTAGGATTATAGGTGTGAGCCAACAGTGCCTGTTTTAAATCATCACTCTCTCATGCAACCAAACATGGATCATTGTCTTTAGCAATATTTTCTTTTCCTTCTTGTCAAAATACTTTACATAATTCATGTTTGCTTACAGATCCTCTTAAGTTCATACCCTTCTAGCTCACTGAGGATAGCCATTCCATTTAGAAAGCTCTTGGCACTTTGGACTCCGTTTATGCCCCTTATCACTTTCCTTTTGGCTTTGTATATTCATTACTAGATTGTGGCTTCCAGTCTCCACGACCCTTTTGCTCCCTCCCTCCCCAAATTGTCTTGTACTCATTGACTTGGTATTCCATCAAGTTTTTCTCAATAGCCTCCCAAAATGTATGACGACTCAAAGAGATTTCTATCCAAGCACTTCGTACAGTGTGTTGCAATCCTTTCTTCTTATCCTTATTCTGAGTACAGCTTCTTGCGGGTACGTACTTTATCTCTGTGTATTCAGCACCTTACTCAATGTAGGAACTCTGTAGGTACTTACAAAATAAAGGAATTATCTATAAGGTTATGTGGAGCCAAGTAAGTCATACTTTGAGCAATGTCTTAGCCCAGTGCTGGCTGTAATCCTAGCTACTCAGGAGGCTGAGTTCTAAGGATCAGGCAGGAAAGTCCAAGAGATTCTTATCTTCAATCATCCAAAAAGCTAGGAGTGGAGCTGTGACTTGAGTGGTAGAAAAAAAGTGAAGCGACAGTGCCAAGCCCCAGTGCTGGCAAGCAAGTAAGGGAGGAAAGAAGGAAGGAAGGAAGAAGGAAGGAATCACATGTCTGGCAAATTGTTTAGTTAATTGATAAAAGGTACTTACAGTTAATGTGTTTGAAGGCTGTGTTTTAAGACATTACATTTATTGTCTCTTAGCCCAGTGACAGCCCAGGAAGCAGGTGCTGTCGTATCAATCCTCTTGTGACATGCAAGTCCAAGTTAAGAGGAGTTAAAGAGACTTGCCCTAAGAGTCTATGACTGGAAAGTCGTGGAGTTGGAATTTGAGACAGGGTCTGTGATCACGTTCTCATACTCTATGCCTTGTCATTGAAGTACTCAGGGGCGATGGCCCCCTTTTTGGCTGGTGTGTCATATTCTGTATTCCATTCTTTACCATCTGTGTGAGGAATAATTTGAACCTGGCTCATTTTTGTGATAGGTAGGATATACTAGTCTTTTCTTCTCAGAACCTCCAGTGTGGCAAGACACTTGAGTTCATAACATATTAATTGCTCTTATAATCTTAATGTCAGTCAATCATTTTATAACTCCTTCACTGGCACCTGAGTGCAAAGTCTTTTGTTACACACAGGAGTGCACTCGGTGCTCTCACTGTTCAAAGGCTGACCTGGAGCTGCCACATCATTATTTCGATGACACTCACAGGCCATTTCTAGAAGAGCTATGATTTGTGCAGCCACAGGGTAAAGTACATTATCATATCTCTCAGCTATATGATAAAGTACTCACTGGGAGGGGAAGGGAAGTAACTTGTCCCTAGAGACCAAGCTGTCAAGTGGAAGATTTGCTCACATTACTGTGAGATCATTCACTGTCATTGCAGATTATTATAAAAGAACTTATGCAAAAACAGGGGAAACTGCTGAGGAGAAATTTTCCAGGGAGTGTGTTTTTCTACCCCAGTTTGATATTCAGTTTTACTAGAAATGTCTGTGATTTCAAAGATACTCATAGGCATGTATTTTTGTCTTTCCTGAGAACCCCTTTTCTCCCCTCCCCTATTTGAAACTTCCATGTTTACATGATAAAAGAGAACCAATACTTAAATATATATTCTTGGCACATTTTCTCTTTTCCATGACCATCCTTTTCCTTACATAAATATTTGAGCATGACTCTAGTTTTGTTTACAAATCATAAACTAGCATGGAAATGACACAGTTATCTGGCTAAGGTTAATTAATACTGGCAATCAAAAAGTGTCTCCAGTTAAAGCACAAATTCTTCCTTGGCCTGATATGTTAATGTAATTAGGTAGATAATTTCTAGATTTCTGTTTCTGGTTTTGGCCATTCATCTTGATTAAATCAACCACAGGGTTGCTGAGTTGGCCTATTATTTTGTGCTGTTTCTAGGCACAGATCTTCTTTCTGAATCTGGTACCATGGTGACACATGCCAACCTCCCAGAAGAGCTGTAATTCCTTTCAAATTCACCTTGAAAGCTTTTCAAATTGGCCATTTATTTCTTCATTAATTTGTTTTCTAGTTTGCCATTTCCCAGCTATGCTCTGTCATAGACAACAAAGATAATATGACTCATCTCTGTGTGCCAGGATCTTTCCAGTTTATTTTTAGTGTTTTATCTTTTCTTATTCTTGAAGACTATGTAAGTGAAGACTATGTAAGTGACTATATTCAAAGAGTTATCTCCTTCCTAAGGAAAAAAATATGATGAATGACTACTGATTCCAATGGACTTCTCCCTCCCTCCCACCCAGAATTTAACCAGGAGAGATTCTGCCTTTCTTGCTTAACAACCTGTTCAGTTGCACTCTAGATTTAGTTTTCTTGAGTTAAAGATTCGTTTGTAAAGACACTGTGCCTGCTAATGCTCACTGGAATATCTGGCGCCTATGAATTTAGATAAGAGCCTATGTTCTAGCATGTTCAGAATTCATTTCCGTGCTGAAGTAATCAGCTTTATGGCTTGAATATAATAAAACTTATTCAGTTAGTGTTGTGAAATAATGAATTTTAAATTATTGCTGTGGCAGCACATGGATTGCCCTGTAAGCATCTGAGTTATTGTGATGATTCGTAAATAATTTTGACATTTGGCTAATATAGATAACTATCTTCTGTTTGTATCTCACTGGTTTGCTCTAAAGGAATAAAGTTTTGGCTTCAGAGATAGTAGTCACACAAAAGAAAAAAAATAACTTTCTCAACTTTTTCTCCGCTAGTTCTATGGAAACAATCAAAAGTAATAGAAGGAATTTCCAATTTTTTCTTCATGTTTGCTAGTTTATGTTCTTCAGCCTGAGAAGAAAAAAGAACTCTATAAATTTATTTTCTTAGGGGTCTAGACACCAAAACCAAAACTTGATCCATAGAAGTGCATCAGTAATCAAAGAGCACTTGACCTTATGCATAGACCAAAGATTAAGTCTTGAATTGGTAGATAAAACTTTCTAAATAATTCTATAAATAGACACACTTTGTATCCTGGAAGCATATCAAAAATGATGATAGTGTAGGATTTTCCCCCACTTAATGGATCCCTTTGCTTTCTAAAGTATTTCAGCGTTACCAGCCACAGTCTCATGCACTTGGCCACTAGATCAGCACTTCTGACTGCCTTGGGCCCAAGCTATGCGGTTATAAGCCTCTAAGAAGATGGCATCTGAAAGTACCACATCCCAATGTATTCACAAAGCCAAGTATGCTATCACTACTAAAGGAAACAAGACCCAGCTTATACCACAGAATGTCAGAAACTCAGCTTGGGGCTGAGAAATTGCCAGTGATTTGTTTGAGAATATGATAGCATGGATTTTCAGACACTGAGGTCATTATTCCGGTTCCTTTTTAACTGGGACAAACAACTCTATTCTGACCTTCATGGGGACAAACTCTTTTTTAACGTTTATAGGATTGTACTGTACAATGACTGAAATTGATTTTCAGATAAAGTATCTAGTAAATCTATTTCTAGGAATAGTATGTGTAAGAAGTAAACATATAGATTTGAAACACTTGTGTGGATATTTCAAGTACAATATTCCTTTCTTATCATGAGAGTTTTCGATTTGTGCTGAATTATTCAGGTGGGACATTAACTGAATCATTACATAACTATTGAATTTTCTATTTTATTTTATTTGAAAAACTATGCTTGTTTCTAAAAAGAAATAGAAGATACTCAGCATATTTTTGACATAAATACTGAGCTATAATTATCATAAACCCTGTGGAAATGTATAGAGAAGACATATCTGTCCTTGAATTCCAAACCATGTGAGGCTTTTGGAGTAAAATCAGGATGAAAACAACACAGGTTTCTCTCCAGATAATTACCCTGTTTCTTTTCTTTTCCTTTTTTGTTTTTGTTTTTTGTTGGTCATGGGGCTTAATCTAGTGCTCTACCATTTTGAGCCACAGCACCACTCTTGATTTTCTTTTGATTAATTGGGGATAAGAGTCTCAGGGGGACTTTTCTGCGTAGGCTGGCTTTGAACCCATGATCCTCAGATGTCAGCCTCCTGAGTAGGTAGGATTACAGGTGTGAGCCCTGGCACCTGGCTAACCCTGTTTCTTTTGAATGAGTCAATTTAGCAGAATGATGAAAGACACCAGGCCCATAAATGTAAGGGTCAAGGGTATAAGTAGTAAAAAAATTACTTACTACTACTGCCAATCACATGAACCTTTCCCATTTCAGCCCCTTCCCTATCTTCTAAAGGAAACCCCAAAGCAGAAGGCAAGTTGTACAAATGTACAGTCTTAACTTCAAATCTTCCAACCATCTACATTGCTTTTACCATGATCAACATGAATGCCCTGAAAATCATCACTATGGATTTTGTCTGTGATCATTATGGCCACACTTGAATCCCTGTCATCCAAGGCTGTGCCAGGCTTAGGTATATTGGATGTGGTAATGATCATTCTCCTCAACAACCTCATCATTCGCTGATTTTATTTTAAGCCCTGGTTAGTTTTTGTTTCAGTCAGATTTATAGGTTAAGGTCATAGCGATTTGTTCAGAATGTTCCTAAGTTTTCTTCCTTGGATAAGTTTCCATCACAGAAATTTTAGTGTATGTACACTGATGTTCTTTCCTTTGTTTCCTTCTTTATGTAATGCCCAACATGTTCAGAATCTTCATGATCAGCCACTCTAAATTTTGTACCCAAATGATCTGGTTTCATAGAAATGTAAATAGCTTCTTTAGGAAACAAAGAAGTTGAAGCTTCATAACAGATTGATTTCTGTTAACATGAGTGAGGATTAGTATGGGTGAGAATCTGAGCTGTTCGGCCATTTATTTAACCAAATCTGATTAATGGTGCATCTTTGCTTCATTTGTATTGCCCTTATTCTCTCCACAGGTCAAAGAGTTCTACTCATATCCAAATGAGCCAGAGGCCATTGAGAATCTCAAGAGAGGCTTGGCTAGTTTGTTTCAGATGCAGTTAAGCTCTGGAACCGTCAATGAGGTACTTACTAACAGTACTAAGGATTCAGCATCTTATTTGACAATAAGGTAATAAGATAAGAGCTTGCACTTGTAGAAGAAAGTTACTACTATGATAATATTCAGAAAAGGTGAGTTGGTCACATCTCCTTTATATATGACACAATTGCCAGAAATCCAGCATTTATTACTTAATAAGGAAATTAGAATCCATTATACTAAGGAGAGTTAGGGTGATGGTTAGATATGGAGAAAGCATTGGGGATTAACATCCCAGATGCCTCTGCCATCCACTATCCAATGGGTAGTTCATTAAAAATATAGACTATCTGTATTTATCCCTACAAATTCTGATTTTGTAGATAAAAGAGGCCAGAAGGTTAATATTTTAACAACCATGGTAATTGGGATGCATTGTAAGTATGGGAATCACTGCTCCAACTCCTTACAAATGATGAAAGCAAGTTTAATGAGAAAAATGAAGTGTATTTTCCAGGATCACATGTGGAGTGATGGCTGAAGTCCAACTTTCCTAATCTGAACTCAGCCAGACTATGAGTGAACAAATGAATGAGTGTAAAATGTCATATCATGACCGGGTTTTAAGGAAAGGTAGAATAGAAGCAAATATACAATGCTGGCAGAGGCCTGCAGAAAAGCTCAGAGAAGTCAAATAAAGTCTATATAGATATACAGGTTTTGAAAACAAAAATCACTAATGTGACTAATAATTAGTTAAACCAATATTTTTCTCATACACATATACACACAGTCCAGATACAGCTTTAGAAATCACTTCTGTCCAGACAATCAATTAGCTGAGGCTTAATCTATTCAGCTAGATTTTAAAAAACTTATTAGCATATATGTGATATATAAGGATAGTTTCACTGTGACATTCCTATACGTATATATACAATGCACCCTGATCAAATTCACTCCCTTTAGCTCTTTCCCTCAGCCTCTCTCCTTATTTCTTAAAACAATCTCTGTTTTCATACATGCATAAAAAGCACTTTGATCATATTCACCCTCATCTACTCTTTTTTTGTTATTGTTGTGCTGTTCCTGGGGCTTGAACTCCAGGACCTGGGTGCTGTCCCTTGAGTTTCTTTTGCTCAAGGTTAGCACTCTACCACATGACCCATAACTCCACTTCCAGCTTTTAGGGGGTAGTTTATTGGAGATAAGAGTCTCAGACTTTCTGGCTGGGTTAGCTGTCATCCTCAGATCTCACCCTCCTAAGTAGCCGGTGTCCAGCTTCATCTACCCTCTTTTTGTTGTTGTTGTTGTTGGTCTTGGGGTTTGAACTCTGGGCCTGGGCACTGTCCCTGAGCGCTTCAGCTCAAGGTGAGTGCTCTACCACTTGAGCCACAGCACCACTTCTTGTTTTCTGGTGGTTTTTTGGAGATAAAAATCTCATGGACTTTCCTGCCTGGTCTGGCTTTGAACTGCAATCCTCAGATCTCAGCCTCCTGAGTAGCCAGGATATGAGCCACATAGGATATGAGCTAGGTATGAGCCACAGCCCCCGATCCCTCCTACCAATCTTTATTGTACAAAGGGTTTTCACCAGGACAATTCACATGTGAGTATACTACAATTCACAGAAGAAATATAAATGGCTAATAGATACATGAAGAAATAACATTCAGTGCCTTTAGCCATAAGCAAAATGCTAATCAAAACTACAGAGTCTATCCTACTCCAAGAAAACAATAAATGCTAGTGAGGAAAAAGGAACCCTCACAATATTGGTGGAAATATACACTAATGTAATCACTATGAATATAAGTATGGAGGTCCCTCAATAAACTAAAAGTAGATCTACCGTATGACCCCAGCATACCATTCCTAGACATATATCCAAAGGAGTCCAAATAAATATACAAGAGCTACACCCACATAGTCATTTTTATTTGCAGTTTTGTTAACAATACCCAAGCTGTGCCATCAGCCCAAGTACCAAACAACCAGTTAATGGAGAAAGAAAATTTGGTACATATGTACTAGTTTTTCCAATGCTTATTGGGATCAAAGAGAAGTAGGATATCTTGTGTCACTGCTGAGCAATTGAGAAGGAGCTGCAAGACTAAACCCATAGAAGAGAGAGACTATTGGAGACTCAGAGTTCTTTCAATCTTTTTCTCTTGTTATTCTTGGAGGTGGGTGGTGGGAGTTGAGGGGGAGCAATTCTTAATGGCATGATTAGAGACCTTAATTTTCATGGCACTTTCCATTAAAATTCAATGGGTCCACAGCAAATTAAAAGCCATTATGTTCTTGCTTTTCTATCCAGGAAGATATCTCTGGAAATTGTCAAGTGACCTACCAGGCTCAGCAAGACAAAGTGGTCAAAATTAAAGCCTTGGATTCATGCAAAATAGAGAGGTCTGGTTTTACAACTGCAAATCAGGTATAATCAATATTAATTTTTTTCTTTGAGAACTTCATTTTGTAGAAATATATCAAAATAGAACATAAGGAAACAATATAATTTGGAAGTATTTATAATTAGGTAACAGTTGTACACGTGTCAAATGAGTAGACTTTTAAAAAAAATTTTTAATTTATTTTTGTTGGTCCTGGGGCTTGAACTCTGGGCCTGGGTGCTGTCTCTGAGCATTTCAGCTCAAAGCAAGCGCTCTGCCACTTGAGCCATAGCTCCACTGAATTTTTTTTAACAAGTGTTGTCATTGTGAGTGTGGCAAGTAAAGGATGGACATCTTTATAAAGTTAAAAGAGAGTCTGTTGTTTGACTTAGTTCGAAAGCTGATTACTTGTGAGTTACCAGATATTAATGGGCTGATGGATTGATTCATTTACTTATTTACTTAGGTCTTGGGTGTCAGAGTGAAAGCCACATCTGTCACTACCTATAAGATAGAAGACAGTTTTGTCACAGCGGTGCAAGCAGAAGAGAGTCATGCTTTCAGGCTGAATTTCTTACAAACAATTACGGGGAAAATAACCTCAAAGTAAGACAATGTTGAAACTTTACATTCATTGTGTTTCTCTGATTTATTATTGTAGTTGATCTGTTAGTAGAGGTGTATATGTATGTGTAGTATATGTATAGTGTGTATGTGTTATCTGTGTGGTGTGTATATGTTTGTGGTGTTTGTGTGTAGTGTGTGTATGTGTGTATATACATGTGTGTAGGGGATGTGTGCATGTGAACAATGTGTGTAGTAGTGTTCAGTGTGTGTATACTGCTTTCCCCTTGAAAGCATCAACAACATCTTGTTCTTTATTTTCCACATTATCCATAATAATAGACAAATCCTATTTGAATGAAATTTAACTATTATCAATTGTTACTTGAGCAGAATTTAAAACATAATTGACAATCTACTTGATTTGTTTTTATTCTAGTTGTTTTTCTAATTCCTTGGTCAATTAATTTTTTTTTTTTTGCGTCTAGTCATGGGGCCTGAACTCTGGGCCTGGGCACTGTCCCTCAGCCCTTCAGCTCAAAGCTAGTGCTCTACCACTTGAGCCACAGCGCCACTTCCGGCTTTTTTCTTTTTGCTTATGTGGTGCTGAGGAATAGAACCAGGGACTCAGGCATGCAAGGCAAACGCTCTACCCTGAGCCATCTTCCCAGCCCTTTGGTCAAATTTTTTAATAGGAAAATTAAAAAGTGGTTGCATTCAGATTTTCTCTTCCAGTTTTTTTTTAAATTATCATTGTTTAAATACAAAGTTCCATAGTAAAGAGACATGAAAAGGTTTTTCAGGAGACTTACATTTTAGCATTTAACCTATTACGTGAATTGAGACCATTCTATCTGGTCAGAGTAGTTGTATCGGGATGAAGAACTAGATTTCAAATCTAATTTATTATCAGATTTTATTTCAAAACGAACATATTTCCAGCAATAAATCAATTGTACCTTATGTCCTTACGTCTCAAAAAATTTCCTCTGAAGTTGCCCTCATGTTAGAACCAGCAGATGAAACGATTGGAGAAATGGATGTCTTGCATCATAAAACCTTGAAAGTTTATTGACGTCCCATCTGAAGTAGAATATTGCATTTTTCTTTGTATATATTATTTTCACATATTCTCAAAGAAAACAGGTACTTAAATTAATAACTAGCTCTGCAAAGTCTTTTAGAGCCAATACTGGGATTCGAACCTGGCCCTTGACACTTTCACTCATTGGCTAGTGCTCTACCCACTGAGCTATGCTTCCAACCCGAAAGGATTGCTTCTTTCTTTCTTTTTAAAATTGTTTTTCCAAATAGATTGTTGAGACCATTTCTGGAAGATAAGCATTCTAAACTGTTTTGGTTAATAACTGGTGTGATTGTATTCAAATCTCATTTTAAGAAAACTGGGCTTAGGTCAAAAGAGTTGACATCCCATATCTAGAAAAATTTTCTTTCTTGTATTTTCTTATCATCATATTTAAAAGACTTAAGATGTCAACTCTTGGAATAAAGTTGTCCTCACCCCCCTCCTGAATGACTGTATAACTATCTTGAGGTTTCTACAGCTTTGAAGATAGCAACGGCTGAACTTCTTTGACTTGAACACATGGGTATACATCTTTGCTAAAGAATAGCAATTAATATCTTGTTCACTCAGAGCACTGTTTAGAACGTGATATTCCTCTGTGATGTTGTGCAGGCAGAAACTGGAGCTGAAGACAACAGAAGCAGGCCCAAGACTGATACCTGGAAAGCAGCTGGCCTCTGTAATTAAAGCCGTTGATGCAAAGTACACAGCCATCCCCATCGTGGGGCAGGTCTTCCAGAGCGCATGCAAAGGATGCCTTTCTGTAAGTGTGAGCAAAGGTGGGGCCAGCAGTGGCATACGTGCTGTTTTTCTGTCTCCAGTGAAAGCGTCAACTACAGAGAGTTACTAAAGGATTACCAGCCACCATACAGTTAGGGTGACTAAGCCTAGCAATCCATACTCAAGATGAAAGCATAAAACAAAAGTAGTTAAGAAAACATATTGCTTTCATGTCTTATAAAGAGAAAACAAGATGCTAGCCAGGTGCCAGTGGCTCATGCCTATAGTCCCAACTACTCAGGCTAAGATCTGAGGATTGTGCTTCAAAGTCAGCCTGTATGATTCAACCCCAATTAACCACCAAAAACCTGTATAGAGAACTATAACTCAAGTGGTAGAGTGCAAGCCTTGAGCACAAAAGTTCAGGGACAGCACTCGGGCCCTGAGTTCAAGGCCCAGGACTAGCACACACACATATATTCACACACACACACACACACACACATACACACACACATATAAATAAATAAGTAAATAAATAACACTGTGACTTACACGAAGCCTTTTATAACTCATTCCATGCTCGGCCCCTGTGATTTTTTAAATAATTTTTTCTTAATTATTGAATGTTTATGTCATTGTGGCTTTCCCAGTGTCACTATATTTTCATGATGGGAACTCTTTTAATGACAGATAGTCTGAATTAATATTGATACACTCTTCCCTCAGAAATGACCTAGAAAATAGTGAGCTAAATAAATCTGAGATTTTATATTCTTAAGATTGGATAGATAAAAAGAGGGTTTGGGTTTTTTTTTTTTCCAGTCCTAGGGGTTGAACTCAGGGCCTGGGCACTGTCCCTGAGCTTAGTTTCTACTCAGAGCTAGCACTTTACCACTTGAGCCACAGCATTACTTCCAGCTTTTTCTGCTTATGTGGTACTGAGGAATTGAACCCAGAGCTTCATGCATGCTAGGCAAGCACTCCACCACTAAGCCCCATTCCTAGCCTTCAATAAAAGAGATTTTCAAAAGAGAAAAACAGGGTCTATTGCTTAGAAGGAGTCAATAATTTAAAAGCTGCAGCATGTTGCCACTAGTTAGTGTGAGAAAACTGGAGGCCACCATGAGATTTTAACATATTCTGTATAACTAGGGGGAAAGTAGTAAAGAATAAAAAATAAATCATTTGGTTGTTTCAAAGCCAAGTGATATCATCAATTAGATTAGCTATTTTTAAAACCATAGTTCAATAACCACACTGCTATATCTAACTACGGCTCTATTTGACGTAGATAGGAGCAATAAACAAGTCCTACCTCAATAATAGTAAAGCATTGAATTTCATGCAAAATGGTAAAGAGAAGCTAAGAAGCTCAGACTGTCATAAAAATTGATTTTCAGTACATTGTGGTAATCTGGAAATGGGATGCAGTTTTCTAGTAGTTCTGATTTTTAGTCCTCTCAGATTCCCTGCTGTTAATTAAAATTCTGCACAGTTTCTGCAGGGTAGTTAAACTTGGCCGGCCTCAGATATGATTTCCTTGGGGTAGTCATGGAATGATCTATATGCCTAGATGGCAGTAAATTGTTGCCCAAGGGCCTTCAAGGTCAATAGTAATAGACCACCATGGACCTTCCACTGAGGACTGGCACGCAGGGTCATCACGCCTCTATTTGCTTCTGGATTTCCGGTGGGTTATGAGAGAGGCAGGGAGATAGGTGGTCTATTGAATAAGAGACAGAAGGGCTTCTAATTGGCAGATACGCCCGCAGCTTTGAGCCTTGGTCAGTGGGGATGCTCATGAGCCTGTGGCCGTGTCTTGCAGCTCTCCGAGCATTGGCAGTCCATCAGGAAGCAGCTGGAGCCCGACAACCTCTCCAGCGCCGATTCCGTCCGAAGCTTCCTGGCCTTCATTCAGCACCTCAGGACCGCCAAGAGAGAAGAGATCCTCCAGATCCTCAAGGCAGAGAAGAAGGAAGTCCTGTAAGTTCCCCAGACTTTGGGTGGGGTTGTCTGTCCCCCAAATCTTTTTCAGGTTATTTCTTATTAAACCAACTGCCCCACTTTCGAATCAATTGTTCTGCATTTCCATATTTATATCTAACCATTATGCCACAATGCAGTAACTCAAGGGACACCTGTCCAGAAATACAATGATAAGTGATTCGTCCTTACGACTCGGTGATAATCTGGTACACTGTATATGTTAGTATTGGAGAGTTAGTTGGTATATTCTGAATAAAAGTTTCTTATGAGAGAAAGAGAAAAGTAAAGCGAGAGGTTTAGATAAAATGAAGAAAGGATTTTATTTATTTTTATAAGTTTTTTTTATTGTGAAAATACTGTACAGAAGGGTTACAGTTACATGAGCAAGGTAATGAGTCCATTTCTTATCAAGCATTGTTGCCTCCTCCGGAGAAAGGATTTTTTTAAAAGAAAGTTATATATTTGTTGCCTTTGCTTTAAAAAGATCACTTCTGTAGGAAACTGAAATGGATGAAGAGTCTGGGAGTGACAGAAGTGTTCAATAACAGCTTGCTCACACTGATGTCTTTTTTTTTTTTACAGACCACAGCTGGTCGATGCTGTCACTTCTGCTCAGACCTCAGACTCATTGGAAGCCATCCTGGACTTTCTGGACTTCAAAAGTGACAGTAGCATTATCCTTCAGGAGAGGTTTCTGTATGCCTGTGGATTTGCCTCTCACCCAGATGAAGATCTCCTGAGAACCCTTGTGGTAAGCCGAAAGGACACTGGGAAAATAACCCTCAGGGGCTAAAAGACAAAAATAAAAACCTATGAAGAATATAAGCAGTAATTAAACAATATATAGAACACCTGTATGTAGAACAAAAGCTACAAAAGAGCTTCTTAACTTTCACATTCAAAGTCTATTGGATTATGTTATGTCCATTAATTACTAACCATATAGTAAAACCTCCATTTAGTGTTTGCCCTCACAGTCCCGCTAATTAGCCTAAACAAGACTTTGCGGAAACTTAAAGCTTGAGTTTGTCCATCATACCTCGTGGCATCGGATAGATGTCAAGAGGGAGAGGTCATCTAGATTATACTGCAAAAAGCAATTTTTGAAAAAATGTTTTGACATCAAAACTATGGTATATATATACATTGAACAGACACAATCATTGCATTATAAAAATATATATTGGAAACAAATCTAGACTGTTTTGACTCCAAGATTTTTTCCGAGTATGCATACCTGCTTATGATCTATTGGAATAATTGATAATCTTTTTGGAAAAAAAGCATATTTGAGAATCTAATCAAAGCAATGTCTGCCTCGGCTTTCGCATATAAAAGTTAACAAACATTTTCCTTTGTGGCTTTCTGAAAGCCCAAAGAACCCAATCCCTTAAATCTTTAAAGAGTTCATAGACCATGATTAGGAAGGTCTTCCCTTAGCTCTCCATTCAAAACCAGACAGCGAATTTCTGAGTATCTCAAAGCAAAATATTGAGTTTGTTTGCTAGGACCATAAAAACAGTTCCATCAGATATTGGTTACTTGTTTCCCATAATTAAAATTGTCCCTTGGGAATTATGTCTTGGTAACCTATTTTATCCCTGTATGGTTGATAGGGTAAGTTCAAAGGTTCCTTTGGAAGCAACGACATCAGAGAGACTGTTATGATCATCATCGGAGCCCTAGTCAGGAAGCTGTGTGAAAATGAAGGCTGTAAACTCAAGGTAAGTCAGATCAAATCTCGGCTGGCTACATTTCCAGCCCATCTCCTTAATCCTCGACGCACTGCCCTCTGCTGGCTCTCCCAGTCCCCGACCTACTGTTTATTATTGTTTATTATGGTTCCTTCTTCCTTGCCTTTCCAAGGCTTGTCCCATAAAAGGGATGCTGAGTGATGATCCAATTAAAGTTCTTCTGATGACAGGACAGCTTAGTTCTTATCACACCTTTAAAGGTGTCTTTTAAGTAGTGAAAAACATCTATTATGTCATTCTCATTCAGTTTTGTTAATGTTTTTGGACAATCTTAATTTTAAAGAATCTTTTAAAAAAAATAATGAGCTTTGGCTACCAGGGTTCAAATTTTCTGTCTTCTGTGAAACACTCATTTACCTCTTCTCCAAATCAAATATATGAAAGAAGGTAAATGAGGTTTTTTTAAGTACAAATTTAATGTATTTGCTGGGCTTTTGTTCAGCCAGCATTGGACAGTGATCTCCTGTGTACTGAGATTACAGATGTGTGCTACTATGCCCAGTTTATTTTTTAGAAAAAGCCTTATTAACTTTTACCTGAGCTGGTTTTAAACCAACCTCTTTCCACCTCTCATCTTCTTCCTATATTTCTTTTTTCAACATTAAGAAAATTTCTACCATATTTATTTACGTTATTGTATTGTATTGTAAAATATAGCCTCTTCCATGTAAACTCTTTCAAAGGTTATCTTTTCTGTTTGATATGTTTCAGAAATATTCCATATTACTAAAGAGAGATCTTCTTCATTCCCTTGTACAATTGCTTAGTACTCCACGGAGTCAACAAGCTACAGTTTATCCCATATCTACTAAATACCATCATGTCAGTGGTTCCACTATTTAATGGTCCTAGACACTTGTTTTTCTTCTTGGATATATAATTTCAGGACTAGGACTACAGGGTCAAAATGGAGTTTTATTAGCTTTGGTCAACATATCTTCCACAATAGTGTACTATTTTATACTAATATTAGCAAAATATAAGCATACTTATTTCCCTATAGCCTGGTCAACAAATTATTCCATCAAGCTAGAAATTTTTACAAATCTAGTGGACAAATGTCACTTCTTGGAGTCTGTGTGAAATTCAGGATCATTTCTTTTATTTGGACTTTTCCTGTTTTCTTCCCCACTCCCACTCTTCCCCTTGTAGGGTGTGTGTGTGTGTGTGTGTGTGTGTGTGTGTGTGTGTGTGCGCGTGCGTGCGTGCGTGCGTGTGTGTGTGTGTGTGTGTGTGTGTACATAGAATTTAAGTGCAGAGTTCACAAATCCTGAAGCTAGATCAAGAATCTTTATTTTATTTATTTATTTTTTGCCAGTCCTGGGCTTGAACTCTGGGCTTGGGCACTGTCCCTGAGCTTCTTTTGCTCAAGGCTAGCGCTCTACCACTTGAACCACAATGCCACTTCCAGCTTTTTCTGAGTAGTTTATTGGAGATAAGAGACTCATGGACTCTTCTGCCCAGGCTGGCTTCGAACTATGATCCTCAGATCTCTGCCTCCTATGTAGCTAGGATTATAAGCAGCACTAACTGAACTCAGGGTCAAGTAAAAGAAGACATTCCAAAGCAAGCTCTAGAGATCAAGCTCTAAGCACTTTTTACTAAAATCAGCTCTTCAGAAAAGTGACATTAGGAGCGTGGTGATAATGTGGGCTCCATCTCATTGTGGTTTTATGAATTCAATAAATAGATTTTTTAAAAAATCACAAGGGAATTAAAAATGGCTTTATGCCTCCAGAACTACATATACCCATATTTATATCATACTTCACTGCTTATTAGAGGTCTATATAGATTTTTTTTCGAAAGAAACTTTTCTCAAGCTTTCCTTGTTTGCATCCCTTGAGTGTCTCAGTCAGGCAGCCAATGTGAATATTTCTAAAAGTTTTGATTGTTTAATTGGCCACGTTTCGGGCATATGTCTGAGTGTGTGTGTGTTTGCTTTTGTTTTTGCTGTTTTTAGGCAGTAGTAGAAGCCAAGAAGTTAATCCTGGGAGGACTTGAGAAGCCAGAGAAGAAAGAGGACACAATGATGTACCTGCTGGCCCTGAAGAACGCCCTTCTTCCAGAAGCCATTCCGCTCCTGCTGAAGTTTGCAGAGTCAGGAGAAGGACCTATCAGCCACCTCGCCATTACCACTCTGCAGAGATACGATGTCCCCCTCATCACCCAGGAGGTAAAGACTTGAGAATACTCACAACGTGACAGAAGAAGAAAAAATATTCCACGTCTCAATATAAATCAAATGCAAACTTCTCTTAAAGCATCTCTGTTTTTCCAAATGGTCTCTTTCTTCTGCTTAGGAACAACTCCTTAAGTTTCATTTAAGAGAGCACAATAGAGTCAAATACATTTTCTTATTTAAGAAACAGACTCTTCAGAAATGTCTTTACTCTTGCATGCTTTTAAATGCTCTTCAATCTTTCTACACTGAAATATCCTGGTGTAAGTTATGTAGTTATAATTACATTTTCAAGAAGCTATCTAAATTAAAATTTTGTTAGGTGGCAATGGTTTAGAAACTTCAATATAAACTTCCTGTGAGAGATATTTAACACCAAACATTGTATTTGGAGATTGCAGGCAAGTGCCTTCCAAACAGTTTTGTATGAAAGCTGACTAGCATGATAGTTAGCAGTATGTGCCTTAGACAGAAAGAGGTATAAACTTTGCCTTCATCTTTTCCTGCTTGTTTGTTTGGGAGTGAGTTATTGAACTCCTCCATATCTGAGAGCACCGTGAAGATCTGAAGGAAATAGAAAAAGTCAGGGGAAAGTAGAACTGAGAAAAGAGGTCTGGGATAGAACCCACATATTATACCTTGTCAAGCAACATTTGTTACCAGAAAACTAGTTCCTGGCACAGGGTGCCATTATTATGGCAAAATAGTGTTGATTTAAATGTGCCGTTTAGGATAAAAGATCACAATGTACCGTAGGTTCATCAAAAATACCAATTTTGTAAGTCAGTTTGCAGTTGCCATAACAAAATATCCAAGGCTGAAGACTTACTAAAGAAGTTTTTAGTTCACAGTTTTGAAGGTCCAAGAGCATGACTCTGAAATTTACCAGCTTCCTTGAGAGAGAGCAGATGTGCAGATGTGCAGAAGTACGTTCAAAAATGGTCAGTGATTCATACGGCTTCAAAGAGGTTCCATGCTCCCAAAAGGATTTCATGCAGGCCATTAAAAAAAAAAGTGTGCCAGTCCTAGGGCCTGAACTCAGGGCCTGGGCACACTGTCCCTGAGCTTGTGTGTGTGTGTGTGTGTCTCTGTGTGTGTGTGTGTGTGTGTGTGTGTGTGTGTGTGTGTGTGTGTGTTTTGCGAATCCTGGAGCTTGAACTCAGGGCCTGGGCATGGTCACTGAGCTTCTTTTGCTCAAGGCTAGCACTCTATCACTTAAGCCACTGGCTTTTTCTGTTCATGTGGTTCTGAGAAATTGAACCCGGGGCTTCATGTATGCTAGGCAAGGACTCCACTACTAAGCCACATTCCCAGTCCTCCCTAAGCTTTTTTACTCAAGGCTAGCATTCTGCCACTTGAACCACAGCTCCACCTCTAACTTTTTGGTGGTTAATCGGAGTATAGTTCATTTTCAACATAGTGTCTAGTGAGTACCACTGCTACATTTGTTCATTCTCTGTCTCCCCATTTCTGTGCCCTTCCTTACCCTCCTAAAGACAGATAAACAGACAAGACAAAAAGAAAACAAAAACAGCAACAAAGGAAAAGCCTCTTGTTTCCATTTCCTGGAGTTCATGTCAATAAATATTATTTTATATGGTCAGAGGTGCATAGGCATCGCGATGCCTTTGGCTTCCAAGCGTATCCTCCTTTGGTCTCACTGTGTGAATGGCCAGAGTCCTGTATAATTCACCAGGAGGTTCCAGTGTATATTGGATCTAGCTTCTGCATATTATAATATCATTTTTTTAAATCGAGCTGTGTGCTAAGTTTGAGTATCTTTTGTACAGGTAAAGAAGACCTTGAACAGGATATACCACCAGAATCGTAAAGTTCATGAGAAGACGGTGCGCACTGCTGCTGCTGCTGTCATTTTAAATAGCAACCCATCCTACATGGAGGTGAAAAACATCCTGCTGTCTATTGGGGAACTTCCCAAAGAAATGAATAAATACATGCTCTCCGTTGTTCAAGACATTCTACGTTTTGAAATGCCGTCCAGGTATGATCCTTCTCTTGTGTCTATGCATTCAAACTTATTTCTATATTGATACATTATACATGCAGCTAGTAACAATGGTATGGCCACTACCTTGGGCTATGTAATACAAACTCAGTTTTCCCAAAGAGGGCTGTTTAGTGAGGCTGGTAAGTCAGTTGCAATGTGGCCATTTACAATTTGGAATGCTTGCCCTGTCTGGTAAATATGCATATCGTTGAATGTTTTAAAAATCAAATTGTACTTTCAATAGCACTGTTTTTAGAAATGGCACAACACGAGGATGTACATTCTTACCAAACAGTCTTTTATTTTAATTTTCCAAATGTTAGGAATAGTTAAAGCCTGATTTATCACGGCTAAAGTTAGTGAGTTTACCATCTAAGTTTACAAACCTTAGGCATGGCCCCCATTTTAGGACAAGTCAAGATTAAATAGTGGTAACAGTAGACATCTTTGCTCCCAGTGACTCCAGGTGAGCTCACACCTTCCAGTTCTTCATTGCTTTCATGAAGCTCCCTGAGGAGGCCCTGGCTGCATTTCCTACCTTTGCCTTGTGAAACTGGGGCTTTGGAAAGACCAGCCTAGGACATGAGAGGAAGTCAGCACCAATATTACAGGGCCAGATTCTCATATCCAACTACTTTAGAGTTGGCAGAAACAATAAAGGCCAACTTGCTTGTCCCTTTCCACTAGAAGGGACTTGCCTGTTTGTGGATGGTATCTAGGCTTCATTTGCTCCTTTCTGATGGCACTGCCATCTGAGGAAACACAAACTATTGTTTCACCGTTATATCTTCATATAAACTGAAATCTTATTGACCCTAGTCTTATCTAGGGTGCAAAAAAGTGACTAATTACTCATACGCATGAACATCCTTTAAATATTTGAGGAGATCTGTCATGACCTGTCTCTAGGAGATACTCTCTTCTTCTCTAAGTCTTACAACTTAGTGGTATTGGATGGCACTCCTCTCACAAATTTTATACCTCATGTAGGTCCAGTTTACTATGATTGATTGTTGTGATAATTTGCTGTGTTGTAGTAATTTTATTATGATCTATAGGATTACATACCAAGAAACACAAATCTCTCAATGCTAATTACAAGTCACAGGCATGGAGTAAGAATTCAAACCAACTTTAGAGGAGATAATTGTTTACGGGTTTTATAGGGTTGTTTCTTTAATTATGTTTCTTTAATTCGAACCTACATGGATATAGAAGAAATCTTGGAAATGTATTGTTATATATCATTTGCCGATGATTAGCAGAAGAGGTGTTAGAAAGAAATGTTTAAAGAAAAATGGTTCCATCTCCTCAGTTGAATATAGCTTCCCTTAAGCATGCACGGAATTCAACAGGGGCACGATAATGATCCCAAGACTGGGTGCTTTTCTGCTCCAGAGTTGTGTCGCATCAGTCAGCTGATGCTATTTCCAAGCTGGGCATCCTTGCCTTGCTATCATTTTGATATCAAATTTAATTTCAATTATCTGAGGAATGGAGGGGGAGCCTTCATCTCTATGCTGGCATTTAGCTGATACCTCCTTCAGTCTTGGAGTGGCATGAGAAAAACTTGGCCCCTTCTTTCTCCACTGAGGATTTCGTTTCCTAATTTTCTTCGGGGGAAAAAAGTGATTTGCAGTATTTCCTTTTTTTATGTTGTAGCAAAGTGGTCCGCCAAGTTCTCAAGGAAATGGTAGCTCACAATTACGATCGTTTCTCCAAGACTGGCTCCTCTTCTGCATACACTGGCTACATAGAACGTAGGTAACCCCCACACGGGCTTCTCCTCCACACCCCACCCCAACTGCATTGCTGGAAATATTCCTAAGTTGCGTGGTGTTTTGTCATTAGGTAGTCCGCATGCGTCGTCCACTTACAGTCTTGACATTCTTTACTCGGGCTCTGGCATTCTGAGGAGAAGTAACCTGAACATCTTCCAGTATGTTGGGAAGGCTCATCTGCATGGTAGTCAGGTAACTTATTTCCCAGTCATTTTTGCTTAACACAGTATATAAGAAACTGGTCCATCACACAGTGTGTAAGCCAGTGGTGTTCTCTGCTGTATGCTGCCTGAGACTCCCTCACCTGCAAGAGGCCACATGGTATAAATTGAAAAGTAAGTGTAAATGGAGCTCAAAACTGATAGAATCTGATTTGCTTGATTCATCAAGTATCCATGCGTCTTTTGGATATTCTGAGAAACAGAAGAGGGTTAATCTGAATAATCTTTGAGTTTCAAAGATGGATAGTCACAAAATTAAAATTGTGCCTGCATTTTCCACTTAAATCTTTTTTTGGGGGGGGTGTTGGTCATGGGGCCTGGACTCTGGGCTGGGCACTGTCCCTCAGCTCTTCAGCTCAAGGCTAGCACTCTATCACATGAGCCATAGTGCCACTTCCAACTTTTTTCTTCTTATGTGGCGCTGAGGAATTGAACCCAGGGCCTCATGCATGCGAGACAAGCACGCTACCACTGAGCCACCTTCCTAGCCCCTCCACTTAAAAAAAAAAAAAAAAAAACTTAAAAATATATTCCTTTCATTATCTTGCCCATGTAATTGTAAACCCTCTGTACAGTATCTTCACAATAAAAAAAGAAAAAAATATATATTCCTTAGGATCTCCTCCTAAGTTTTAAAATTTATAATTATCTCATTATAGTATCACTACATAGGGGTGGATTCCCTATAATAGAATATGATTCTTTAAGGACTCAACCTACATTTCTCCAATCTTAGTGGGCAATAAAAGTATAAAGTATGGGCATTTGACCACAGGTTGGTTTTTTCTCTGTTACTGTTACCCAAATTAGGTGACGATCCATAAAGGCTTCCTCGTTATAAAATATACTTCATTTTAGTTGTTATGAATAACAAACTATAATCTTCAAACTGAAGTCATTTAAGCACTAAAAAGTGATCTAGTGCTACAGAAACATGAGCTCTGGTCAATATGACATTGCCACACCCTGGGACAGTGCCACGGTCACAGTACTGTGCCTGGTCCCGAGGCATTGCCATCTGTTTCCTGCTGTACAGTCTGAAATGCCAAATGCCAAATGGCGAAGGGGCTGGGAATGTGGGAGAGAAAATACCTAGAATTCCTGTGTGTGCTAGAAATCAGGACATGGCTTTCCTCATCTTTTCTGGTGAGGGAGCAATGTTTGATATGGAAAAATATGAGTCTGGCTGAGAGAGTTCTATGCCCTGTCACAGTAGGAACCTAGGGACAATTGTGCCAGCATGGCTCCCTTTCCTTTCATAGTTTATCCAAGATGGCGGATCCGTTCAATGTGATAGCCTGGGAGAAGCACATTCTTTAGGATGAGATCATGAAGTGGAAAGTTCATGGCCTTTGTAGTCATCCAGGGTGGGTTCAAATCCTTCCCCTATCCTGTACCAGCTGGTGAACTTGAACCTTTTTTGTTTTGGCCTTATCTACAAAATGGATAAAAATCATCCATTACATGGAGAGAATTAATTCACTTTATGTCCAGGCACAATGTTTTGTGTGTGTTGAGTGTTCTTGGGTTTTTCTTTCCCTAGTTACCATTTGCAGTTGAGGCTTTGACCCCTATCATAATTTTTTTTTTTTTTTTTTTTTTTTTTTCCTATCATAATTTTAAGGTGAATCTCAGACGCCTTCCAGAGCAGGAGCGAATTCTGCCACAAAAGGTGTATTTGTTTTGTTTTTTTTCTCTAGGTGGTCCTTGAAGCCCAAGGGATGGAAGGCTTAATTGCAGCCACTCCTGATGAGGGAGAGGAGAACCTGGACTCCTATGCTGGCATGTCACCCATCCTCTTCGATGTTCAGCTCAGGCCTGTCACCTTTTTCAATGGATACAGTGACCTGATGTCCAAGATGCTGTCAGCATCTAGCGACCCTGTCAGTGTGGTAAAAGGACTTATTCTGCTAATAGACCATTCCCAGGTAATTCCTTCAATCTGCAAGTATCCAGCAAGTCTCTAAACTTGCCTGACATAGTTTAACTGCTTTCTGTGCCTGATACATCCAAGACAAAGTTTTGCTCATCTTGGTGTTCACCTGCTAAGCATTTGGTCCTGTAGATATTGTTGCTGTTTCTCCTTTGCTGTAGATAAGTAGCATTTTCTTTTGCATTTATTGGCTGCTTAAAGATTCTCCTTACTTTGAAGCAAATAGACAGTGAGGCAAAAAAAAAAAAAAAAAAAAGCCAGGCACCAGGTGGCTCACACCTGTAATCCTAGCTACTCAGGAGGCTGAGATCTGAGGATCTCGGTTCAAAGCCTGCTCGGACATGAAAGGCTGTGAAACTCTTATCTCCAAAAAGCCACCAGAAAATGGGAAGTGGTGTTGTGGCTCAAGTGGTAGAGTGCTCACCTTGAGCTACAAAGCTGAGAGACTGCTCCCAGGCCTTGAGTTCAAGCCCTATGACAGATAGAAAGGAAGGAAGGAAGGAAGGAAGGAAGGAAGGAAGGAAGGAAGGAAGGAAGGAAGGAAGGAAGGAAGGAAGGAAGGAAGGGAAGAAAGAAAGAAAGAAAGAAAGAAAGAAAGAAAGAAAGAAAGAAAGAAAGAAAGAAAGAAAGAAAGAAAGAAAGAGAAGCAAAAGCTACTAACAAACACAGAGAAACTACTGTTTGAGGCCCAGCTAGGATACAAAGGGGCCAGGCCTTCATTGCCTTCTCACTTGTTTTCTTAAACACAGGGGCTTAGATGATGCTTATCCAAGATGCAGGAGCTCCCCTTCATGGAGTGCTGAGTTACTGGTTACATTTGCATTGACAGAGATGATGAAAATCCAATTAACGTGTCATTTTCACCACTGACACCAACCACATGTTCATAGGTACTCTGTCCTCAACTAGCATGTTGGTAGCATCTTAGAAAAGTTTGCTCACTCCTTAGGAACAGAAGCTCAACTTTCATTCACTTGAACCTCAGTCTTCAGAATGTTGTCCAGTTTTCCTTGACCACAAACCTTATCATACCATACCAAAGTCTGATAGTAATATCTTCCATACAGTAAGACTCATGGGGCCAGCTTACCAAGATGTGTGCCCAATTACATTTCCTGAGAAACAGAAGAGGATTAATATGCATCTTAATTCATTTTTGAGTTTGAATGTTTGGTATTTAAAATTGTTTTTAATGGCCTGATTCATGTCCAGTTTCAGGAAATAAGGTACTATTTTAAAAGGAAAGTGTTCCCTAAACAAGGATCCTATAGGGGGATCATTATGTACTCTAAGACTTATTCTATTGGAGATACATAAGAATTTAAAGTTTACAGACTGTAGGATTTACCCAAAGTTTGCTTTAGTAAATTCACAGGTCGCAGCCTAAATTTAAGTATTGTCTCCATAACTTCCTGGTTGGGAACTGACTTGATAACTTGAAACCATGATTTCCCGATAACCAATGGAAACATTTGGACAGCTGCTCAGCTTTATTGATCTTTAGATCAAATAATTTTGGAATGCAGCTCTGTGAAGTTTTGGTTACTCAGTAATAGGTTTTAAGAGCTGGAGTGTCTTTAGGTATCAGATTCTATAAAACTCTTACAAAGCCAGGCATTAGTGACTATGGCTGAGATCTGAGGATCACTGTTCAAATTAGCTCTGGCAGGAAAGTCTGTGAGGCTCCTATCCCCAATTAAATACCAGAAAGCCAGAAGTAGACCTATCTCTCAAGTGGTAGAGAACTAACCTTGAGCAAAAAATCCCACAAACAAAAACAAAAAACTAAGGGATAGCGCCCAAACTCTAAATTCAAGTCTCAGCACTGGTATGCAACAACAAAACCTCTTCCAAAGCATCAATAGCTAGAACTAAATATTAATTTTTTAGATTTATCATGCCCTATGATGGTCATATTGTAATAAAAACAAAGGAAAAATTTAGATTTTTGTTAAAACTACGTAATACACTTGAAAGTAGGTAGTCTAGGGTTATCATGGAAACCTTATAGCGTTAGAATACAAACTATTCTTCAGTTTAGCCATCCTTATTTGTAGGGTGATTTTTTTCCCCACTAATACTGGGGTTTGAAGCTCAGGGCTTTGAGCTTGCTTGGCTTGCCTGGTCAGTTGATATACACCTCCAGCCAAGCTTTTTGCTGATTACTTTGGAGACAGATTCTGCTCTGGCTAGCTTTGAACCTTGAACCTCTAGACCTTAGGCTCCTAATTAGCTAGGATTACAGGTATGAGTCATCAGCCCCCTGTTTATTTATGGCTTTTGCATGTCACCAGTTTGCGTGATTACCAGTTGGCCACTACATTTCCAGCTCTACCTCTTCGTTCCAGGAAGGAGAGAATCCTGGTGTGTGTGTGTGTGTGTGTGTGTGTGTGAGAGAGAGAGAGAGAGAGAGAGAGAGAGAGAGAGAGAGGAGAGAGAGAGAGAGAGTCTTGAGACTTTAACTCAGGGCCCTGGTACATTCCTTGAGCTTCTTTTGCTCAAGGCTAGCACTCTACCACTTGAGCCACAGTTCTACTTCCAGCCTTTTGGGTAATTATTTGGAGATAAAAGTCTCACAGGCTTTGCTTAGGCCCTCAGATCTCAACCTCCAGAGTAGTTAGGAATACAAGTGTGAGCTACCAGTTCCCAGCTTTCTTTTAAAGAGTTTTCTTGGTAGTAAGAGTGGTGATGCATATCTATAATCTCAGCATGAAGGAGGCTCAGGCAAGACAAACAAAAGTATGAGACCTAGGCTATAGACTCGACCTTTTAAAAAAAGTTGTCTAAAATGCTGTCGATAGAAACTATGGCTATGCTATATCTTAACTACAACAAAACTTCGTCACACATGGAAAACACTTATTAAACCGTATCAAAGTTGTACATTGCACAATTCCATCATGCTTTTAGTGGAAGAAACTTCAAAATGCAGATCAGAAAATCAAGGATACAGAACAACACACACCTTTTCAAGACACAGGATCAAAAAAAAAAAAAAGACACAGGACCACATCCTAACACAGTTTCATGTGCTCAATTAGCCACTAACAATGTCTGATCATATGAATCAGAAGGACAAACTTGATGTCAATATAAGAAGCAGTCTAGATCTAGGTTGGCCAACTTGTCTAGTGAAGAACAGGAAGTGAATAGTTTGTGCCTGGAGGGCCAGACAGCGTAGGGCACAGCTTCTTGGCTCTGTTGTTGTAGTGTGAAAACAGCCATGAGCAATATAGTAACAAATGAGAAGGGCTCTGTTCCAATAAAATTTTATTTATGAGAACAGCTAGTGGTGGAGACCTGCCTACAGGTCATACACGTTGCCAAGGTTGGATTGCATGGTCTTGTATGATTTTTCTATACATTAGGCCAGGGTAACTTAGGCAAAATATAGTCCCCTAGCTATTAAGCATAACTTTGTGTGAGTGTGTGTGTGTGTGTGTGTGTGTGTGTGTGTGTGTGTGTGTTTGTCTGTGTCTGTGTGTCTTTGTGCATGTCTGTGTCTGTGTGTGTCACGCTAGAGTGTTTGGCAGATCTGGGGTTATCCAAATAAGCTGTCTGAGGCCCTCTGGCTCTGTAAAGCACTCCAGTAACATCATCCTAGCTTCAGAGCACGTACCGCTCTAGGTCAAGTGCTGACATTGAAGGAAATTTTGGCAGAGTGGCCTCTCCTAGCCACAGGGACCGATGGAATTACTCAGTACCATGCTTTCTCTCCTTCCTCTCTTTCTTTCTCTCTCTCTCTCTCTCTCACTCTCTAACTGGGCACTTCAGAAAAGGATTTCTGATAAAGTCAGTTTAATGAGGGAATTTTCTTAAGCCAGGAAAGAATATAGTTCCTTGGGGCAAGTTGTCAAAGTGTCGGTATGTGAGCTATAAGAAACTCCTTTGGGACCAGAGAGAACAAGAGTCACATGAACTACAAATGCAAAAATCTGTTCTCCTGTTTCTTGTTCCTCTAATTCACAGACAAATACAGAAATGTGCATTGGGGGCCAATCAAGGACATAAACCTATGTTTGTGGCAGATGGGTCTCAGGATTGAGTGAGTTACCAAATATAGAACTCTGGGTACACTGTGAGTGCTCACAGACTGATATGCCATTTACTCCAGACCCCTCAGTAATTAGAATCACTACACCATGTGCTTAGTCCCTTTCACAGAATGCTCTTTTTCTGTGGTGGTAAGTGGTCTGTCTTCATAAGGGGGTCCACAAAAAGTCTTTGTAACTTCATGGAAGAGTTCTTCCCTGGTCCCCTAGCATGAAACAAAAGAACAGCAAAGGCAAATAAGCTACCTTGCTTGTGTGAAAATGTTACAATATAATCCCTTTATATAACTAGTACGTGTTAAGAGAGAGAGAGAGAGAAAGTCTCCCTTGTGATACAGGATACAGTTGTTCTCTTCTCACTAATGATGGGTTGTTTGAAATACACCATGAAACACTTGTCTGATGTAGCTTGCATCCATCTGCTTACCATATAGTTATTGAGAAGGTCAAGGCCCATATCACAAGCCTCTGTTGACTGAATGGATTAACAAGAACATGAATTTCCCATTGGGAATGGAGAAGAAGATAGAAGGAAAAGACTACGTCTATAGCAGGGGATGTAATAGGGTTTGTTTGACAACAGTGACAATTATAGTGCCTGTAGCAAACATGGAAATTGTCTTCCTTCTCACTAGTTACAATGTGTTATATGGCCCCCCTATGATAACCAAATTTTTGTTCTAGACTGAATATAGCTTTGTGTATCTCTAGACATGTCTTCTAATCACTCTGGCATCCCATGCTTTCATAAGGAGCAGCCTTCAGAATGAAAGTTATTTTCCTGTCATGACCATACATTCATAGTAGAGCTGGTCATCAACCAATACTTTGAGCCTCCCTGCCACGATTTTTGTAATTCAAGGAGCTCAACGTGATCCTTGCTAGAAAGTGAAAGCATTGCATTTAGAGTTGGCCAATGCTGGCTTGTTTGGTCTGAGTAGAGCAGTTGCATAAAGAGTTCAGTCATATTGCTGCTTGCTAAGTACTTAAGATCTTTAAATCAAGTTCTTTTCTTCTCAAAATCATTATTACGTTTAACCCTTCTTCAGGAGATTTGATCCCTATCTAGTGAAACCATTCTCACAGTATCACTCCATATAATGTACATGGGAAATGAAAAACTTAAAGCCTACATACAGGTAAACAGCACAAAACAGGTTTGACACAACAATACAATTACTCAGGATGGACTGTTTGTAAATAATTACCATGTCTCTGAAAAATACCCTTGAGTTCATGTTGGACTTACCTATGAGTTCGGGATAAGGCTTATTTAAATCACCTTGTCTTCCTTCTTCATTTTTGAGTGTTTTTTTTTCTTTTTTTAAGTGATTCAGGTAATTCCTAGCACTTGAATGATGCACTAGGAATTTTTAATCCTATTTTTTTCATTTGTCAGAAGTATGCCTTTGCCTTTATTTAATACAGCATGTCCCCAGAGAATTGCTTAAAAGACCCCAAGAAGTCATCTTGTTTACCTTTCCCATCTCCCTAAAAGCTTCCTCTGGATATCTGATGCAAGTTCCTCCATTTGCCCATTCTTCAGTGGTTCTCAAAACAAATTTTTTAGGTCTGTAGTGGGGCTAGAACTCAGGGCCTAGGAGCTCTCCCTTGAGTTTTTTTGGCTCAAGGCCAGTGCTCTACTACTTTGAGCCACAGCTCCACTTCTGGTTTGGGGGTGGTTAATGGGAAATAAGAATCTCACAGACTTTCGTGTCTGGGCTGGCTTCAAACTGTGGTCCTCAGATCTCAGCCTCTTGACTGGTAAGGATTATGGGCCACCACCCAGCTGATGTGCAGATTTTAGTGTATCAGAATCACGTGGGGCTTATTACACATAGATTGCTGGAGCCTACCTTCAGAGTTCTAATTTAGAAAGTTGGGGACCTGAGAACCTGCATTTTTTTGAACAAATTCAGAGGTGTTGCTGGAGCTGTTCCTGAGAGCTCCACGCTGAGAATCATTTGCCACTCAGTAGGTCAGTGAGTGAAAGCCAACACCCTCCTCATTGGTATACCACTTCTCCTGTATTTTAACTGACTACTTAATTTTGTAAATCACCCAGTAACCTTTGTGTGAGCAATAGGCTTCCAGGCCTAGAGAAACACTCCTCCACTGGGGCCTACCTCCTCTCAGTGGCAGAGCGCTTGCCCAGCATACATCCTCAGCACTGAGCCAGATAATCAGAAGGCCTTGATGAGAAAGACTCTTCCACAAAGACAAGTCAAACAGCACTATCTACCTTGGAAGGGGTTAACTACATTTTGCTTATTATTATGTCCCTTTCTTTTCTTTTTCCTCACTAGGAGCTTCAGTTGCAATCTGGACTAAAGGCCAACATGGAGGTGCAGGGTGGTCTTGCTATCGATATTTCAGGTGCCATGGAGTTTAGTCTGTGGTATCGCGAGTCTAAAACCCGAGTGACAAATAGGTAAGCATAATATATTTAATGCTTTATGCAAAGGACTACACATATCTTTGTGAATTGGTAGCCCTCAGACTTTTCAAAAGCTGTGCTTCCCGCTTACAATTAATTGTTAAATCATAGATTTGGAAGGGATTATGGGAAGTTACTCTGTCTGTAGCATTTTAGAAGCTGGTTAGTACTTACTACAGCAGTGCCCTCATAGATAAAGGGCATTGTCTTTTCTTATTATTTCATTTTAATAGTTAATGATACTGTTAGGAAATTTTACTTGGAACAGTTGTTCAAAGTAAAGATGAATGTTTAAACATCTCTCTCTTCCTCTGTCATCTGTGGATTGTAGTAAGAAGTTGTTCCCTTCTACACAGGATCTATTGGTGCAGGTTGAGACAGGATCTCACCATGTAGCCGAGAGGTGACAAACATGAACTACTACACCCAATATTTAAGACTCAAAGTCTTAAATAATAGCCGGGTGCTGGTGGCTCCTGCCTGTAATCCTAGCTACTCAGGAGGCTTAGATCTGAGGATCTTGGTTCAAAACCAGCCCAGGCAGGAAAGTCCATGAGACTCTCACCTCCATTAAACCACTAGAAAATCGGAAGTGGTGCTGTGGCTCAAGCGGTAGGTAGAGTGCTCACCTTGAGCTGAAGAGCGCAAGGACAGCGCCCAACCCCAGAGTTCAAGCCCCACAACCAACAACAACAACAAAAAGTCTTAAGCACTGTCATTCCTTAGTTTGCTCAGCAATATTTGTTGTTCTAATCAATCTGTGAGCTCCCATGAAAATGTCTCCGAAAAGAGTGATAATAGCCAACATAATTATTCTTTTGTTTGCTATCAAATTGCAGAAAATAAAATAGAAATAGGATTTGATTTTACTCTTTTGGATATTTAAAAATAGGGTAAGTTGTGGTAACAGAAGTGATGATTAGGTTTTTCATTCATTTTGAACTAACTGTGGGTGATGCACCCGAGGAAATCTGACAGGTGGCATATCAGAGTCCAGCGATCCAATCTGAGGCTCCCAACTGCATCATTCATCTCCTTTTTCCTTTCAAAGTAGTTTTTTTGTCCGTTGTGGGGCTTGAACATTGGGCCTGGACACTGTTGCTGAGCTCTTCAGTTCAAGGCTAACGCTCTACCACTTGAGCCACAGCATCACTTCCGGTTTTCTAGTGGTTTATTGCAGATAAGAGTCTCACAGAATTTCCTGCCCAGGCTGGCTTTGAACCATGATTCCAGATCACAGCTTCCTGAGTAGGTAGGATTACAGGCATGAGCCACTGGCACCTGGCTTTTTCAAAGTATTTTTTAAAAATTTATTTTATTGTGAAAATGCTGTACAGAGGGCTTACAGTTACTTGAGTAAGGTAATGACTGGATTTCTTGTCAGACATTGTTACCTCTTCCTTTGTGTTTCTCCTACTATTCCTTCCTTCCTCCACCTCCCTTACTACTCCCCCAACCAGAAGTTGTGAAGTTCGTTTCCAACATAGTGTCTTGTGAGAATCATTGTTGCAATGGGTCATCCTGTGTTCTTGTTTCAGCATTTTGTTATTTCCTTTCCCCTCCCCAAATTAGATAAATATATATACAAGATGCAGAGTACCAAAATCAAATAGAGTGACAACAGGGGATAGACCATGGGGGAAGAACATACAAAAGAAACAAAAGAAAAATCACATAGTACATTGACAACAACTTTGACAAAGAAAAACCACCTCTTGTGTCCATATCTTGGGGTTCATTTTATTCAGCATCATCTTATATGGTCATATGTACATAGCTTTTGAGCTTTTCTGTTCATCTGATAAGGTTATCCTAGACGTGTACTAATTATTGCAAATAAGGGAAACCATGGGACCTATGTTTCTTTGGGCCTGGCTTACTTCACTTAATATAATTTTTTCCAAGTCTTTCCATTTCCTAACAAATGGGGCAATGTCATTCTTTCTGATGGAGGTGTAGTATTCCATTGTGTATATATACCACATTTTCTTGATCCATTCATCTACTGAGGGGCATCTGGGTTGGTTCCATATCTTAGCTATGGTGACTAATGCTGTCATATACATATTAAAGTATTTTTTAAGATAGACATTTCTCCAGATTAAACTGAATTAGATTCCTTGCAGAGAGAAATCAACCACCACAAAAAAAATCTAGATTTTTTTTAATAGGATGCAATATCCTTAAGTAGTGCCAGTATCCACATTGTAACTAATCTTTCTTCTTTCATCTGCTAATTCATTCATCCATTAAAAAAAATCTCTTAATCCTTTGCTCAGTATAAGACATTAGAAAGTCCTTCAAAGGATTCAAGCATTAAAACCACCTCTGACCTACTTTTATACTGACAACAGAAGCAGGAGTTTTCATTTGCCTACCCAAAAATTAGTACTTTTTTTTAAGTGTGGATTTGTGACTCTGATTTAATTATGGAAGTAATTTCCTAAGTTTGATTGAGGACTATTGTAATTTATAGTAACCTTAACCTGTCCAACCGTCCATCACTGATGACTGTTGTACCTACCCTACCTAGTCCCTCCACATACTACACTGTAGGAATAGTTCTTCCTCCCCCTCCCCCTCCTCCTCCTCCTCCTCCTCCTCCTTCTCCTCCTCCCCCTCCTCCTCCTCCTCCTTTTCTTCCTCCTCCCTTCTTGTCAGTCATGGGGCTTGAACTCAGGGCCTGACACTGTCCTTGAGCTCTTCATCAAGGCTAGGGCTCTACCACTTTGAGCCACAACACCACTTATAGTTTTCTGGTGATTAATTGGAGATAAGAGTCTCACAGATTTTCTTGCTTGGGTGGGCTTCAAACCAAAATCTTCAGATTTCAGCCTCCTGAGTAGCTAGGATTAAAGGTGGAGCCACCGATGCCTGGCTAAGAATGGCTGTTTGGAACAGAACATTCTTTTAAATATCTTGGTAACCGTAGACCTATGTCTTTTGAGAAAGAGTAATGAAATGGAATTGAAGTAGCTGTCTCAGAGACAACAGAGATGGTAGAAAGAAAACCACTACAAACCACCAGCTGTCCTCTTGGTAAGCTTATAGTTCTTTCTAAGATAACTTAGGTAATTATGTCCTTCTGAGAAGACTGGATTCCGGCATTCTTTTATCTTGGTCCTTGGTGTACCAGCAGTATCATACCTGATCACTCTTAGTTCCCATGTCTAGAATGAGAAGCCAAGGAAGTTGAGATGTAGAGCAAACCTTCCATAGCCAATCTCCGGCACCAAACAGGCCCTTATTCCAACGGGGTTCTAAGTGTATTGGGGTCCATTTCTTAATTTCTAAGTGTTTTCTTCTAGTTTTCCATGCCATGAGTTCAGACCCTGTGAAATTCTTAGTTCAATGTGATGCGAACAAGTTCTTTTTCTCTTTTCTCCATTTTAGGGTGGCTGTGGTCCTGACTGGTGAGCTTACCGTGGACTCCTCTTTTGTGAAAGCCGGCTTGGAAACCAGGGCTGAGACAGAGGCAGGCCTGGAGTTCATCTCCACAGTGCAGTTTTCTCAGTACCCATTCTTAATCTGCATGCAGATGGACAAGTCTGAAGCTCCCTTTAGGTAAGATGAGTATTCCTGGAATGTTCTAGAACCACCTCCAGTTCACCAGAAACTTGCATTCAGTGTTTTAGCATACAGCTCCAGGATGAAAAAAAAAAAAGCATTAGAAACCAAGTAAAAAGTTAGTTTTCACTGGGCCAGGTGGCTCACGCCTGTAATCCCAGCTACTCAGGAGGCTGAGATCTGAGGATCGTGGTTCAAAGCCAGCCCAGGCAGGAAAGTCCGTGAGACTCTTATCTCCAATAAAACACTAGAAAACTAGAAGTGGCACTGTGGCTCAAGCGGCAGAGCACTCACCTTGAGCTGAAGAGCTCAAGGACAGCACCCAAGCCCAGAGTTCAAGCCCCATGACTGACCAAAAAAAGGTTAGTTTTCTTTCAAGGACTTAAAGAACAATTAATAAAACTAAGAAAACACAGCTCGGAGGAGGCTGAGCAATTCTAATGATTACTTTTTCTGACATTAAGTCAAATCATATTTGATCCAGCAACAACTTTTCAAGGAAACTACCCTGGCATTTAATTTGTCACAGGAGTTGTCTCAGAATTTCAACAGAAATACCAGATGTCTTCCTACTTGTCTCCCAGGTAGAGAGTTCAAAATAGGGAAATTCACTTCCCATGAGTTAAGGGCCCAAATAAGTGCACAAGTAACTCTATACAGCAGCAATGTGGCGTTAAATTTGGACTTAAATTTGAGAGTCAGGATCCTGCATGTTTGAAAAAAAATCTATTAGTAGAATGCCTACTGCCCTTCAAATCAAATATATAGTTGTCCATGAACTGCCTAGTATTTCTTCCATTAACACCGTGTCCTTACATCTTATAGCCATGGTGCTCTATAGTAGTCCCCTGTGGTCAAGCTGGAGTCCTTTGAGCTTAGATAGCACCGACTCTTCTGTAGTTGTTTTCAAGGTCTCCTTGACATATTCTCTGACCATAAGGCAATTTGTACACTCAAAATATCAAGTCACAAAAAAAAAAAAAAAATATCAAGTCACGGGCTGGGAAGGTGGTTCAGTGGTAGAGTGTTTGCCTTGCATGCATAAGACCCTGGGTTTGTTTCCTCAGCACTACAGAAGCAGAAAAAGCTGGAAGTGGCACTGTAGCTCAAGTGGTAGAGTGCTAGCCTTGAGCTGAAGAGCTGAGGGACAGCGCCCAGGCCCAGAGTACAGGCCCCATGACTGGCTATATATATCAAGTCATCATTTCCATTATCTTCTTTGATAACCAAATAAAAATAGAGCCCCTTATTTTCTGACATTTCCCAACCCATATAAGGAATCCATCAATAATTTAAGTGCAAATATGAATAGATTACATTTTCATAGCATACATGATAGTGACTTACACTCAGACTATCAAGCTGTCGCTGCTTACATTAACTTATGTCTAGAATAGTCCTCCATAAGTGCACTAAAATTTTTTTTTTAAATCAGCCTTCTAGTGGTAAGAAGGTAATGACCACCCACTCAGTCAGCCACATGGATGTTTGGCTTGACATTTCACTTGGACCAGAGCTGGGGGAAAGTTTTTAAGTCTGTGTTCTCATCTTACAGTTTATTCTTAAGGGGAGAGGCCCCCAGGTTGGGGCTCTGGAATGAAGGGTGGGAGACATAGCTAGATCTGGGAAACTTCACATCCTCCAAACTATGAAAAGAATTCAGTCCTTCATTACAGAACAATAGATGGCAGGATTCCTATATCCGGGGCATTTTCAGTGCGTCTGAAGGGGAAGACATATCCTCTGTACTTAGGAGAGTACAGTTACTCAACTCCTTTCTCACACTGCTTAGGGTTGAGAAACTCCCAGTGCAACCAGAATGTGGTTGCATATGCAATTGGATGTGGACAGGTGTGACGTTGAGGTGTGTAATTCTGCGGTTGCTCCCTTTGTTCTACAGGCAATCTGAGACAAAATATGAAAGGCTGTCCACAGGCAGAGGCTACGTCTCTCGGAGAAGCAAAGAAAGGCTCCTAGCAGGATGTGAATTCCCACTCCATCAAGAGAACTCTGAGATGTGTAAGGTGGTATTCGCCCCTCCAGCAGAGAGTTCTTCCAGTGGATGGTTTTAAGAACTAATCGGTGATATTTCACGTGAATTTGTCTTCCGGGAAGGGATACAATGAGACGTGGGCTGCCGGATGAAGTGCTTGCTCTCTGAGAGCAGTGTTTACATATTTACATATATTTAAGATTTTTGTAAAAAGCAATGGGAAAACTTCAGTTGATTAAATTTAGGCCTACTCAGTACACCTACCCATAGTGTCCCATTAAGTCATCATGTGACACTTTCAACAACATTTGTACTTTTCTGTACTTCTCTCAAGTCTCATGTTGCACACAGAGTAGGACTAGTTTCTGCTCTAAGAAGAAATGACTATTTGTTAAAAATAAAATCTCCAAATATTCAAGGAAATCCAATTTTGTTTCAACAGTTTTCACCCAGGGTATCTGAAGGGAAAGCTCTAAGCCAGGCTCACTTTCTGTGAACCACACTGCCTAATCAGAAAATGAGGACAGGCTATGTTCTTTTTCTTTTATCTCTTGGTGGGGTACAGGTTTCAATGAGAGAGTAGGTACAAGACTTTTAAAGGAATTTTGTTAGTCAACTATAAGAATGACTGTTTATGCCTTCTAGGGTGCTAAGCATTAGGGTTGAAGACCCATAGAATTCAAGCAAACCATTTTTGTTGACCATCCAGTGAGCTAGCTGATATCCATCAGACCTCTGCCTTCAGCCCTCAAATATCTAGAATGAGCATTTAAGAATAAGAAATAAAATTGTTTCAGAAATACCATTTGAACTCAAGAGGCTAAGATTTGAGGCTCAAAGCCAGACAAGGCAGGAAAGCCCATGGGACTCTTATCTCCAATAAACTACCAAAAAGCCAGAAAGGGAGCTGTGGCTCAAGTGGTAGAGTGCTAGTCTTAGTTAAAAAACAAACAAACAAACTCAGGTACAGTGCCCAGGCCCTGAGTTCAAAGCCCCAGGATCTGCACATACAAAAAACAAAAACAAAAATGAATAACCCTATGTGTGTTTTTCTGAGGCTGTCATGTAGAATTCTATTCTTTGTAAGACAGACTGGTATAGCCATCTCTTAACCTCTTCCTCTCTTGTGTGGTGTGACACAGTACAGTCTATACAACTGCGAGGTACACAGTAGCCACAATGACAGAGAGAACATTACTTCAAGAAACTGATGGATTTGAATTTCAACATGATGAGATCAAATAAAGTCTTTATTTGTATGCATTATACAAGTCATGTCAGATCATTTTAAATATTTATTAGCAAAATAGATAAGTTTTATTGCAATAAACTCTCCCCAGAACTTTAGGGTCATTTATCCATGAAACACACACACACACACACACACACACACACACACACACACACACACACACACACACACACACACACACACACACACACACACACACAGGTGAAAGTTCTGCTAGCCCTCTAATAGCTGTCAACTAAAAATGAAACATGATGAAATAAATATGTGGACATCTCCTTGAGTTATTTTGTCTTTCATTGCTCTGACGTCCATGCTTCCTTTCTTCCTGAGCATCATTCACAGAGCAGAACCTTCAAAGCAAAACACATCAGTCTTGGTATCTAGATGGGAGTTCAGTCTTTGGGAAAATAAGCCACTGAAAACCATCACAGCCAAACCTCCTCACGACCTGGGAGTTCCAAAGCAAGACTAACTCTGGTTTTTATACCAATTCCCATTAGCACCTAGAATTGCCTTCTTGTTTTGGACATTTATCAGCCTCCTTTGCTGTCTGTGAGTTTGAGACCCCCAGAGTGGGGTCAGATGCCCTGTCCTCAGCCTTGAATGGACAACCAACTTGTATGTTCAGAGAAGCCTACATTGGCTAATATTGACCTTCCATCACGGGGATTAGAGTTAGTCTAGAATGACAGCACTAATCCTTTGCTACCCTCCTATTAATAAAAATGTAATTTATTCACAGTTGACTTGGAACATCACCTACACCTATAAACTATTTTCACCCTTCTATTTTTACTAGAAAGATTCCTGCCATAATCTTCTAGGATTACATGGAAAAGTGTGGATGTTCTCTTTCCAGAGCACGCTTATGTTTTAAATTACCTGATTCCTTTTGTTAGTGGAAGTCAGTAAGCTCCATTCTGCTTTGGGGTACTTCTCCCCACTTTTTTTCTTACCATCTCCCACTGTGTTTGTCTGGAGATTAACCGCGTCAACAGAGTTTCTGAGCAAGAGGTCAGTGTGAGAAGTATTGAGGTATACAGATACGCTCAAAGCCAGACATGTTCTCATATATTCTCTAACTAGAAAAGAAAATGGGTGCTCTAAGCATGCTAAATACAAAGCACTTGGATAATCAGACAAGTCTCAGACATGAAAATGACCTATGCTTAACAAAAACTTCCTTCTACCTCCACCTCTGTTACTTAGCAAACAGTGCTGTGTACTATGCTGGGCACTTGATAGGTCTCTTGTCTCCACTGCATAAGCACAATTCTTCTGAATAACACCTCCTCCTGCCCTTGTCCCATGCCCCTGTGGATTTTACATGCCTAATTCCTACCACATTTCCTCACTTAGTCCCGCTGGTTTTCACTTGGCAATTAACCACACCAACTTGGATGCCTGGCCTACTCTATTGTCTCCTGTCATTGTCCTTTTTCTTAAAAAAAATAATGTAAAGATCTTCCTAAGTACACGGTCAGCTTCTCAAGCTAGGACCATGCATATAGCCTGTAGTGTCCTCTGGCAACATGGCGCGCACGTTCAGTAGATACTAAGCTTACTCCCTAAGGCTGCCTGGGCATTCTAACTTGCTTTACCCTTCAGGATGGCCAAGATGCTATGTGAGGAGGGCAAATTTCTGACATACCTACCTCCAAGGTTAAGGGACGTACTCTGCCCTCACATCAGAAGGAATTGTTTGTTCGTGTCCTACAAAAGAAACAACTAAAAGGCCAAGAAGAGAAACCATATGAAAGTAAGCGCTTGTAGCTTTTGTGATGAGCTTTTGCAACGTGCATTGTGCAAGGAGACCTCATTTCCAGGACAACTGAAATGTTAAGGGAGATGTTTTTAACTGGGATATTTTCAGGACAGCTCTTCATTCAAATAGAATGTTTCTAAAGAATAAGATGCCTGGTGTAGTGGTGCATGGCTATAATCCCAGCACTGGGGAAGCTGAAGTAGGAGGACTTTGAGTTTAATGGCAGCAAACCCCTGCCTGTCTCAAATAACAACTAAGAACTGATAGTTTAGGTATGTTGAGGTTAGTGGTATTAGGACATGGAAAGAGAGAGAGAGAGGTCTCAAAGTCTTGTGTGTTGAAAGTTTTAAAAATGTGCCAGGCACCAGTGGCTCACGTCTGGAATTCTAGCTATGCAGGAGGCTGAGATCTGAGGAACGTGGTTCAAAGCCAGCCCGGGCAGGAAGCTCTTATCTCCAATTAACCACCAGAAAGCCAGAAGTGGCGCTGCGGCTCAAGTGGCAGAGTACTAGCCTTGAGCTGAAGAGCTCAGGAACAGCAAGTGCCCAGGCCAAGAGTTCAAGCCCCACAACTGACAAAAAAAAAAAAAAGCTGGTATTTTTTACTCAGTAATTCTAATTAGGGGGTTTGTTGCATGGAAATGAGGGGAAAGAGATGTATGCAAAGATATTTAAAGATGTTTAAAGATATTTGTTGAAGCTTATTTTCATAGCCTCAAATTATACAAATGAAACACTTCAAATGAGAGCTTAATCATACCAGGATATAGCCATACCAAGAAAAAAGATATCACCATTAAAAGTCATTCCTCCAAGAGTACCGAAAAATAGAGGTAGATTTATTTTTATTTTGTTTCCCTTAGAATATTGGGGTCTGAATTCAGAGCCTTACACTTGCTAGGCAGCTTAGCCCTAAGAGACAGGTTTTCAAAGTTACAAAACCGTGTGTGTGTGTGTGTGTGTGTGTGTGTGTGTGTGTGTGTGTGTGTGTGTAATGTGTGTGTGTATACTTATATATATAGGGAGAGTAGAAAAAAAGAACATAAAAGTATCAACTATACTTACAATATATATTTTCTAGAAGCTAATTATGAGTCTCTCTAGATTACAAATTTTTCCCCAGCCTAAATATGCTTATGTACTACTATAATTCCAGACTGAGTCAGGAAGATCATAGTCTCAAAAACATTTCTGTCTCAAAATATTTCTCCCTATTTTTCACCTTTTAGATGATATTTTCCATATTTCCTTCAATAAATTCATATAGCTTTTGTAAATAGAAGAAGCCACCCAAAAGTTTCAAGTGTTTTGAATTGTCTGTGTAATAGCAGATTGGAATTTTTCACAGGCAGGAGTGCAAAATCAGAGCAGTTAGTCACAGTTGTTAATATTCCCTTAATGATAAGTACAGAGTGAAGGCAATATGCATGCTCTCTTAATTTGCATAATAATTATTTCTAATATGTCACATATTACACACAATAAATATGCAGTACTTTGCTGTGTATGCATAGATGTTATCTTGCAATTTCTATGATTATGCTAGTATCGTAGGAATATGCTAGAAGCTTAGGAATCAAAGTAACTTGATGGTAAGCAGTAAAATTAAATTTTGAAGGCATTTCTGATTTGAAGAAGCCTGTTTTTACCCTCTCTCCAGCTGAACTAAAAGCATACACATCTGCAAGAAAGCCTATACTCAGGGACTGGCCTGTTGATTAGGTTGTAGATTCAAGGATTAGAGAAAAAAATATTAGTTTCTGCTATGCCTATCTGCTGTGACTATCTCTTCACACCTCTTCTGTTGGATAGAGTGCTGTCTAAGGCCTTGAACATGCTACTTTTTCACACCCTGCTCTCTTACTGTCCTTCAGTAGCTACTTCACCCCTGAACAACTGAATAACCTCTTTGCCTTTGGTCTCTTGCCTTGATCTGTTTTTCCTGGTCCTGATCAAGTAGAGTGCTGTCTTTTCCCCTTGCCTGCCCCATGCTCCATCATTGGTCATTGACATGGTCTCTCTCTCTGTAGCTGTTGGCCAGCTTCCTCTTTCAAACTCTTTGACCAGGCTTAGACTAGAAGCTTTATCAACATATCAAGCATTCTCTCCATATTTAAAGACTTCCTGAAATCCTAACCTCTTCATGAATCAGAGCATTTGGTATGTAGTAACATTTATTTTTTTAAATCAAAGAAAGCTGGTGT